TGTATGTGTATATTATATTATATATATATATCATATTTTCTTGATCCATTCATCTACTGAGGGGCATCTGGGTTGGTTCCATATCTTAGCTATGGAGAATAATGCTGCAGTAGTTGTGCTGGTAGCTTTAGTATACCCTTGTTTGTGAACGTTTGGGTAAAGGCCCAAAGTGGGATTGCTGGGTCATAGGGGAGCTCTATGTTGAGTCTTTTGAGGAACCTACAAACTGCTTTCCAAAGTGGTTGAACAAGTTTGCATTTCCATCAACAATGTAGTAGGTCTTTTTTGGCCACATCCCCTCCAGCATCTGTTGTTATTAGAAGTCAAGATTATAGCCATTCTAACTGGGGTGAGGTGGAATCTCAGTGTTGTTTTGATTTGCATTTCTTTTATGGCTAGAGAAGTTGAGCATTTCTTCATGTGTTTATTGGCCATTCTTATTTGCTCTTCAGAAAAGTTTCTCTTTAAGTCTTTAGCCCACTTATTTATCGGGCAGTTGTTTCTTGAGGATTTGTTGTTGGGGGATTTAATTTTTGAGTTCCAGGTATATTTTAGATATGAAATCCTTGTCTGTTGTATGGCTAATGAAGATGTTCTCCCAATCCATGGGCTTTCTATTGATCTTGCTAGCTATGTCCTTTGTCATGCAGAAGCTCTGCAGTTTCATGCAGTGCCATTTGTCCAACCTTTCTTTGATTTGTTGTGTTTCTGGGTCTCTATTAAGAAAATTTCAGCCTTTGCCAAGGAGCCCTAGAATTTCTTCTATTCCTTCCTGTAATGTTTTCAGGGTGTCTGCTTTGACTTCGAGGTCTTTGATCCATTTGGAGTTGATTCTGGTGCAGGGTGATATATAAGGATGGAGCTTTAGTTTTCTACAGGTGAGTAACCAGTTTTGCACATGGCCAGATTTCTAAATGCTTGGTCAGATTTTTCCTGAAGTACATTTTAAATGTACTTCTTGTTTCTTTATTTTCTTAGAGTAGATGAAAATAATTCTTTTTCTTTATGATTCAGGTACATTGTTCTGAGTATCCATTCATCCCACCATATGGTAGTAGAAATTTGTTAGGTTGTTTGTCCCTTGTGAAAGAGCCAGGAAGTACTTTCAGGTTTTATGTTTGCACTATGCCTTTTCTAATCTACTTCTATTACCGGCCACATTTCACTCCTGGACTTGTAGTAGCTTCTTCTAAATGCTAAATATTTTGGAACATGTTGTATGTAACATAGGAGTGGATAAGTTTCATCTATTGAATGGTGGACCTTGCTTGTAGACTTAATAAACATTTATTGATGATTGAGTAGATGTTATGATATTTAAAAAGTTGCCCAACATCCTCTTATGTTTTGAGGAGAAAAGGTTTATGAAAGGAGAGAAAATTAAGCTGGCATTTGCAAAAGATAATCGTTAAAACATCTTAAAATTTAAAAACTGGAAGGTACTGCAATAACAATATATCAGGATATACGTCTTTCTTTGCTAAACCTTTATCTGGCAGAAAGACATGCCACTTGTCACTTCAAAAAGAGAAACAGCTGTCAGTGGGCTCCCTTCCCTTCTGCTGATAGTTGTATCTTGGTATCTCTTCTAGCTGCAGTTTTCTTGCTAAACTCAAAAATTCAAAAAAAAAAAAAAAAACCAAAGTATTTCATTGATTGAATATTAGCTGTATGTTTTCTGAATATGATAAAAACAAACCATGGTTATCTAGTAGCTTTTTAATTTAAACCTAAAATTATTCTTTGAGTACTTCTCTAAATTTTCCTCTATCTTGTTCTTTTGACTTCTTGCCATTTTTTCATTATCAGAGAAATGGCATGGTTAGATAGTTTGAACCAAAAGTATTATACTACCATGTTTGTTGCTCTTACCCAGTGTTTTTCTAAACTAAATTTTTCATCAACCAAGTAACTACCTCTTGAGGTCTGGACATAGATGCAGAGGGAGCATACGTTGGCTTCCTACATACATAAAGCTCTTTTACACTCTTGCCACTGTCTATAATCTTTGTTTTCCTCTATGTTCCATTCTGTTGGGCACTGGGTCTCTGTTTATGGTTTTTTCTCTTCCTTCCCTTCCCTTCCCTTCCCTTCCCTTCCCTTCCCTTCCCTTCCCTCCCCTCCCCTCCCCTCCCCTCCCTTCCCCTCCCTTTCCCCCCCTCTCTAACTCTCTTTCTCTCTTTCTTTCTTTCTTTCTTGCTTTCTTTCTTGCTTGCTTGCTTTCTTTCTTTTGAAAGTCCAGACCTTCTTTTTTTGCTCAAGGCTAATGCTCTACCTCTTGAGCCACAATACCACTTCCAGCTTTTTCTGAGTAGTTTATTGGAGATAAAGAATGTCTCATGGACTTTCCTGCCTGGGCTGACTTCAAACCATGATCTTCAGCTCTCAACCTCCTGAGTAACTAGGATTACAGGCTTGAGCCACTGGCTACTGGCTTGGGTCTCTGGTTGTTGCTGTTTAGTTAGTGTTATTTTATTGTAAAGGTGATTTACAGAAGGGTTACAGTTACATGATTCAGTAATGAGTACATTTTTTTTAACAGTGTCACCCCCTCCCTTATTCTCTCCTGGTTTTTCCCTTCCCAACTCCCCTCCTCCCCAAGTTGTAAAGTTCATTTCCAGCATGGTGTCTAGTGGATTTCACTGCTGTATTAGTTCACCCTTTGTCCCACTGTTTCTGTGCTTCCCTTTCCCCTCCCCAAATCAGAGAAACATATATACAAGACAAAGGGTACAGAAATCAAAAACAGAAGGGAATAAACCAGACTTTGTAAAGAAGAAAAGGGGGGGGGGGGGCTACAAACAGTATAATTTTAAAAAAAAAACCTCTTACTTCTGTTTCTTGATGTTCATTTTGATAAGCATCATTTTGTACGATCTTAAGCACATAGATAGCTATTGAGCCCTTGTAATCCTCTTCTAAGAATATCTTCCTTTGTTCTCACTATGTGAATGTTTAGATTGCTGTTTAATTAATCATGTCCAGCTGTAATTATTTGTATTTTATTGTCCATTGGGTTTACTTGTAGATTTATAGGTGCATTGTAGTTATTACAAATGAGGGAAACCATACAGCCTGTATTTCTTTGGGTCTGGCTTACTTGACTTACAGTGGTCCCTCTGCAGTTCACTTATTGTGGCTTCACTGTATCACAGGTTTCAAAACAAAACAAAACACATAATGATCCCTCACCTACAGTGGGAGTTAGGTTCCAGAGACCTGTCGTAGGTGAAAATCCTCGAAGTAGAAGATGTAGCAAGAAGTGATTCTCGATATAGGGAGGGACAACTATATTACTAACAATGCTACTTCATGGATTTTCACCTATCACGGGGGTCTCTGGAATGTAACTCCCGCAGTAGGTTAGGGATCACTGTACAATGTTTTCCAAGACTCTCCATTTCCTTACAAATGAGGCGATGTCATTCTTTCTGATGGAAGCTCTGTTTCTTTATTGATCAAGTTCAGTGATTTTTTTTTTCCTTTCTTTTGTCTTCTTTGCATACAGCTTTGCTTATTTAAGAATGTCTTAGGCTTGCCATCAACCACTTCTAGTTTTTTGCTGGTTTAGTCTCATGGACTTTTCTGCCTGTTCTGGCTTTGAACCACAATCCTCCCTTCTCAGCTTTCTAAGTTGCTAGGATTATAGGCATAAGCTGTTGGTGCCTGGCAAGATTACATGCTTTTAACATTTTGATATATGTGGTCAATGTTCTAAAAATAAGCCTGCTATCAGTATATGAGGTTTTGGTTTTCTTACATCTTACCTATTGACCCAGAGAACACAAATTGTAAGTAATAAATCTCAAGGTTAACTTCTCTTTATGACTTCTGTATGTAGCCTTCAAAAGTAGGTACTTTGCTGTGGTCCTGGCAAGAGACTGAAATCTAAGTATCACCATCCAAAGCCAACCCAGGCCCGAAAGCCCATGAGACTTTTTTCCAATTAACCATCAAAAAGCTAGAAATTGAACTGTGACTCAAGTGGTAGAGCACTTAGCCTTGATCAAGAAAGCTTAGGGACAGTGTCCAGGCCCTGAGTTCAAGCCCCAGGACCAGCACCAAAAAAGAAAACAAGAAAGTTGCTTATTTCTTTTTGTTGCTTCCAAATCTATTCAAGTATAGAATGTACTACCAAAACACAACTATCTCTTTTTTGTTGTTACTATACAGTAATAACATTTTTGAATATAGACTTTTTTCTCTAAGGAAATTACTCTATCATTCATTGCCAAATACTTCTTAAATATTTTGCTTTGCTTTGCTTTGCTGTCCTGTCGTGGGGCTTAAAGAACTCAAGGCCTGGGCACTGTTCCTGAGCTTTTTCACTCAAGGCTAGCATTCTACCACTTTGAGCCACAGCTCCACTTTCAGTTTTCTCATAGTTAACTGGAGATAAGAGTCTCATGGACTTAACTTGCCCACATTGTCTTTGAACCATGATTCTCAGATCTCAGCCTCCTGAGTAGCTAGGATTACAGGCATGAACCACCAGCACCTAGCTACTTCTTAAGTTTTTCTTTTTTCTTTTTTTTGGTTCGGTCGTGAGGCCTGAACTCTGGGCCTGGGCACTGTCCCTCAGCTCTTCAGCTCAAGGCTAGCGCTCTACCACTTGAGCCACAGCCCCACTTCCGGCTTTTTTGTTTTTGCTTATGTGGTGCTGAGGAATCGAACCCAGGGCCTCAGGCATGCAAGGCAAGCTCTCTACCACTGAGCCACTTTCCCAACCCCTTCTTACGTTTTTCTATATGACTGTCAAATCATGTAAGTACATGCTCTACCACTTGCTTCACCCCACCAGTTCTGCATGTGATCACTTTTGAAAAACTCCTTGAGTTTGAGTTTACCTGAGCAACTAAAACTGATTATAATGATAATTGCGCAGTAATTTTAATCATGTAAGAGACTTAAAAAAATTGTTTTATGTAAGAGACTTTAATAATCCAAACAGACATTGATTGATAAAATATATTATTTACTTATTTATTGCTTGCTTTCAGGTGGATTCACCAATGAACTTGAAGCATCCTCATGACTTAGTCATATTAATGAGACAAGAAACCACAGTGAACTACCTCAAAGAATTGGAGGTAAGGCAACTGAGCATGTGAAATGCAGCTGAAACTTATTAAGTACATAGTTTAGGAGTTAATACTGGGCTTAAAGAAGAGCTCAAGCACATTATTTCTTAAACCCAGTTCTTCCAACTTTTATAGCAATATGTTACCTTTAAATTATGTTTTTGCCAGGCACTGGTGGCTCACTTCTGTAATCCTAACTACTCAGGAGGCTAAGATGTAAGGATCATGGTTCAAAGCTATCCTGAGCAAGAAAGTCTTGAGATTCTTATCTCTAGTTAATATTTGCACATTTAAATATTTACTGTCTTTCAATCTAATTGTTTCCTATCTTGCAAAATGATCTTAGGATTCTTTCTAGCCCTAAAGCCATCTGTTTTATTCAAAATATACAGGAGTATATTGCATCTGTATATTTCAGTCTTCTAACTCACTTAGAAAAGTTTGCTTTTTCTACAAGTAGTAGTTTATTAGTTTACTTTAAAGGAATAATAGAGAAAGTCTGTGTATGTTCACTAAGTTAATTAAGGGCATATTCTTCTGTATTTATACATATTTATCTTCTGTAATAGAAAATTGTCATAAAATTGTTCTTTCTCTTCAATGGAACCAAGCCTGACTTATTAGAAGAATTCATTCTGTTATTACCTCTTTCTCAACAGAAGCAATTAGTTGCTCAAAAAATTCATATAGAGGAGAATGAGGACAGAGACACAGGACTGGAACAGAGGCATAATAAAGAAGACCCAGACTGTATCAAAGCCAAGGTGCCCTTAGGGGACCTAGATTTGTATGATGGCACATATATTACTTTGGAAAGCAAAGACATCAGGTAAAGAGATTCTTTTTCCAAAAATAAGGTTGTTTTTCTAAATAGACCTTTCTTTGTTGTTTTGTTTTGTTTTGTTTTGGTCAGTTGTGAGTCTTGAACTCTGGGCCTGGGCGCTGTCCTTCAGCTCAAGGCGAGCACTCTACCACTTGAGCCACAGTGCCACTTCTGGTTTTCTGAGTGGTTTATTGGAGATAAGAATCTTGCAAACTTTTCTGCCCAGGCTGGCTTTGAACCAAGATCTTCATATCTCAGCTTCCTGAGTAGCTAGGATTATAGTCGATGAGCCACAGATGCCGGCTTGAAATAGACCTTTCTTAAATCGATGTAAAATTAATTCTGTAGTAAAAATATGCTTCAATCACAGATACATTCATTAAAAAACAGAAGTTCAAAATACTACAGGTAAAATTCTAACAAGTCAAAAGTGTTTAATACGACTAGAAAATTGAACAGTTTACAGTGAATAGTAAGCACAAATGGCCAGTAGACATGTGGAAAATATTTCTCAGAAATAATCTAATAAGTACATATGAAAACATCTGGTTTTCCCCTGCCATATTAGGGGGAAAAAATTTAAATCAGTAACCAATAAAAATAGAGAGAGGCTTTTAATTAAAGTATAAATAGATGTAGAAATTCTTTCTTTGTAAAAAGAATTATCTGTGCTGTATTTGATTTTTGAAACTCCATAGTGTTAACATTCTGTGATTTACTAAATTTCCTAATTCTTTATTTACCCCTTTAATCTGAATTCCCAAAATATTTGGCTTCTATTGGTAGCTCCATGAAAAGATATGAATGTTAATTGACATGAGAATATGGGGGAAATTGACATTTCGTGAAGTATTGTGCATCACAACTCTCATTTATTCCTTGCTTCTTGATTTTAGCCCAGAAGATTATATAGACACAGAATCTCCTGTTCCTCCAGACCCTGAACAACCTGATTGTACCAAAATTTTAGAACTTCCATATAGTATACACGCTTTTCAGCACTTGCGAGTAAGTAGAGAACTTCAGGAGTTGTTTTTTTTTTTTGTTTTCTCCTTTCATTTGGTCTTTTGTTTATAAAGGCTTTTTCTTTCATTGATCTGAATTGGTTTGTTCTTAAGTCCTATAATTTCCTTTTACTATGTTTTTCAATTTTTTTTTCTTCTTTAGGGTGTACAAGAGAGAGTTAATCTTTCTGCTCCTTTATTACCTAAGGAAGATCCTATCTTCACCTATTTATCTAAACGCTTAGGAAGAAGTATAGATGATATAGGTCACCTCATTCATGAAGGCTTGCAGAAGGTGAGTCATCATGATCCAAAGAGCCAAAGGCTCTCTGATACTTTTCTTTTTTAAAAAATTAGTTAATTTATTATTATTTTTCTGTTCAAGAGATATTTTCCTCTCAGGAAATACCCAGCTTACTTATTTTTGTCTAGAGGATGATCTAAAATTATTTTGGTTTGATGTGGTTTTGTTGTTGCTGCATTATTTGCTTGCTTGCTTGCTTGTTTGTTGCCTGCAATACTGGGATTTAAACTTGGCCTGACATTTGCTTGAGCCACACTTCCTTTACTTCAATTACATTGATATAAATTTTATATTTCAACAGAAGGATAACATGGAGAGATAGTATTCCTTACCAGAAAAATACTGAAACCTTTTTAACTAATTGACTAAAAAACAAATAATAAGCAGTAGTGCTTATAAGCTAGATTATGTACATTAAGTCTGCAAAAAATTTTTATATTGATATATCTACATACAGTACATAGATATTGCTGTTATTTGAACTAGAAAAGACTCACCACAATTAATAAAATTTTCTTTTAAAGGATCACACATGGGTTTGGTTTGGTTCTATGTTGGTACTAGGGCTTGAGCTCAGTCAGTGCCTGGGAGCTGTCTCTTAGTTTCTTTGATCAAGGCTAATGCTCTACCATTTGAGACACAGCTCTACTATCAGGTCTTTGGTGGTTAATGTCTCATAGACTTTCTTGCCTGGATTATGTTCAAGCTGTGATCCTTATATCTCAGCCTCCTGGGTATCTGTGATTACAATTGTAAGTCAACAGTACCCATCTGGGATCATATACTTTTAAAACTGAAACAGGGAATCAGATGTGATGGCATTTACCTGTACTCAGGGGACTAAGGCAAGAAGATCACATGAACCCACAAATCTGAGAATAGCCTTAGCAGTATATGGAAATACTCTCTCAAAAGAAAAAAGAAAGAAATAGGAATTGATGTATTATGAGCCAAGAGTTTAAATGTAAAATTCAGGATAATGTGGTAATTTTGAATAGTTTTTACTCTTTTATGTCTGAGTATCAGAAGATATAAGTTAATTTCTAAGCAGTATTAATTATGTTATTAAATAAAATAAATAAGGCTATCTATAAATAAAATTAAAATATATAAATTACTCAACTACATAACACTATGTATCAGAGAGAGGTTTTTGGATAAAAGTAAGAAAATAGTTTGACTTTCAAATGCATTCTGATTATTTTTGTAGCTAAGTTACCATCTTCATCTTGTGTTCCTGAAAGTAATGTAAAACATTTGCATTCCAGAGCTTAAGAGAATCAGGGAAAAACTGGTTCAGGATTTTACAGTATCCTTTGGAGGCTGATTAGTTGAGAGTAGACCATAGTGGTAAGTTTTTTATTGGAAATTAAAATAGAGGGTAACTGCATGGCTACTTTAGATTGATCAGTTGGAAATACCCTTTTGGAAATGTGAACTTTAAACTAACATCTGAGATACAAGAAGGAACAAGAAAATTTTAAAATCAGGTAAAGCATTCCAGGCCAAGGCAAACAACTGACTGAGCCTGGGTGGTTTATTTGTTTTTTTCAGGCTATCTAAATAAACTGTTATCACTTTGATCTGACTCTGCTTCACTACAGTGATCTTCACAATATATTGGATCTTTCTCTCAGTTCCAATGTAATTCTTCAGAAACCAACTGGGGACCATACAATTCAGTTTATTATATTTTTTTAAAGAAATCATTGCATTGCTCTTTGGATTATGGTGTGAAATGAAATAGAAGAGGTAGTAGACTGGTCTTTATTTGGTCTCCAGCACTTTAGGCAAAGCAGAACTGAGACTTTGGGAAGATAATTCCCTTACTTTCCCTTACCGAAGCTGGTAGAAGCTACTGTTGGAAGTTCAAAGATATGTAGCAAATTGTAGGGGAATCCCCAGCTGTGGCAGGGCACAAGCTCTAGCTCTTGCAGAAGACTGAAGGTTGACACAAAAGGCTTTGTGAAGACAACTTTTTTTGTTTGTTTGCCAGTCCTGGGGCTTGAACTCTGGACATGGGCACTGTCCCTGAGCTGCTTTTGCTCAAGGTTAGCATTCTACCACTTGAGCCATAGTACCACTTCTGGCTTTTTGGAGTAGTTTATTGGAGATGAGTCTCATGGACCTTTCTGCCTGGGCTGGCTTTGAACCAAAACCTTCAGATCTTAGCCTCCTGAGTTGTTAGAATTACAGGCATGATCCACCAGTGCCCAGCTAGGTTTAAACTTCTTTACAGTTGAGTTTTCAACATGGTCCAGTTTAGTGTTTTGACCTTTATGTAGTTGAAATTCAGAATCTTAGAAAACAAAGATGTAGCTGTAAAAGAAATCTGTCAAAACTTTAGCTTAACTTGACCAAATAATACACTTAATTACAATATACTACAAGATTTCATTTTCACAGCATGAATGTTTGAATTAGAATTTGAAGACAAGTTTTAAAATAACAAAAATGTATATTTCATAAAAGCCTGTTTGCTGAAGTTTGTACCTTCACTTAAATGTTATATAAAGAAAACACTTTGGGCTGGGAAGGTGGCCCAGTGGTAGAGTGCTCACCTTGCATGCATGAGGCCCTGGGTTCGATTCCTCAGCACCACATAAGCAGAAAAAGCTGGAAGTGGAGCACTAGCCTTGAGCTGAAGAGCTGAGGGACAGAGGTCAGGCCCCACAACTGGCAAAAAAAAAAAGAAAGAAAGAAAACACTTTGTGAAATGTTCATTATAGGAAACACATGTTAAAGCAACTTCTATTTCTAAGTAGCTTAAGTCTTAACTTCTAGAATCCTGAGGTAGTTAGGCCAGGTAAGATCTTGCCTACCGTTCTAATTCCTTGGAAGATAGAGATCAGAAAATTGTGGATATAAGTTAGAGAGATTTCATCTTAACAAATAACCTGGGCATAGTTGTAAACAACTCTAATCACAACACAACCTTAATCATAGCTGTGCAAGAGATGTAGGTAGAAGGATCATAGTCTATAGCCAGTCTGATCAAGAAGCATGAAACCCTATCTGAAAAATAATGTAAAAAGGAAAATGAGCTGGGATGTGGCTAATGGGATAAAGCATCTGTCTGGCAAGTGTGATTCCCCAATTTCAAACTTAATAACTGCCCTCCCCACAAATAAATAAATAAATAAATCCTGAAGTAGAACCTGACTGGACATAGCCACTTGATGAGTGTTTCAGCTCTATTTCTGGAACTAGACAAGCTATGTGAATTATATCTGCTTACTTATTAGCTGTTGATTCTCAGTATTTTTGGACAGGTGTACTTTATTTGTATATGTCCTCTGCTTTCTTATTACCAGAACTAGTCTTGCTCATCTTCATCTTGAATTTCAGAAGAGACATGATATTATTATTCATTTTGAATATTCACAGTTTAAGAAACTATCTTGAATTGTATTTTATTGTTGCTTTATTTGTTTAATCTCTAGAACTCTTCCTCTTGGGTACTGTACAACTTGGCTTCATTTTACTGGAGAATAAAAAATGAACCATATCAGGTAGTGGAATGTGCCATGCGAGCTCTTCACTTCTCTTCCAGGTAAAATTCTTCTCTGCGCTTCCAGACTTTCCATAGTCCCTAGAACTGTTAAAGATCAATACAGAAGAAACAGCCTTGCATAATACTCTCACTTATTCAGAACAAATCACAGAGGTTAAAAGCAACAGTTCTATAATAATACTGATCATTTCCATTGAGAAAAAACATATATGTAATACAGATATCTGTGATTCTCTTGCAATGTGAGTGCAAGGACTTTAACTTTACTTATCTTAATAAAGTTAGAGTAGGTACCATTAATTTTGAAATGAAGCATCCTCAGCTTACTTCCTCTACCTTATTTGCTCATGCTAATAAGCTTAGTAAATGTCATTTTTCCTCAACAAGTGATACTAGTAGTACATAACTATGGAACACATGTCTCTTTCTAACATCTACTTGCATTTTCCCTCTTTCAGGCACAATAAAGATGTTGCTCTGGTCAATCTGGCAAATGTCCTGCACAGAGCACACTTCTCTGCTGATGCTGCTGTTGTGATTCATGCGGCCCTGGATGACAGCGACTTCTTCACCAGCTACTATACACTGGGCAATATTTATGCAGTAAATACTACTTGCTATTTCATGAGCCATAGCACTTTACTTTCTAGACCTTTTTGTTCTTTTCTGTCTGTAGAAGTTTTCTTTTTTCCAATGGAAATGAAATTAGGGAGTGAGAAAAAAAAAACAAAACCACCAAAAAACCTTAACACAAAATTGCGTATTAAGGTCCTAGCCTCTTAACAACAACAACAACAATCATAATTAAATTGATACAAATTTTAAATTGTAGAATGTACTTTAAAGATATCAGTGCTATCTTCCTATGGCATGCCTTTATATTATGGGGACTCAGTCACTGGTCAAAATAATTTTCATGGCAGAGTGAGATACAGATGTGATTTTATAAATCACTAGGGATTTTGTACAGATGCAACCAGCCATGGCTGATGTTTCCTCATTTTTGTGTACATAAATATGTGTGTTTGTTTTTATCTCTTCAGATGCTTGGGGAGTACAACCACTCAGTGCTCTGTTATGACCACGCTTTGCAGGCAAAACCTGGATTTGAACAAGCAATAAAAAGGAAGCATGCTGTCCTCTGTCAACAAAAACTTGAGCAAAAATTGGAGGCTCAACATAGGTAACTAAAAGAAAAATGTTTCACTGAAGCATATGCTCCATGGACCATTAGATTAGATAAGGATGACATCACTGTTAAGTAACATTGTCATGAGAATTAAGAAAGAAAACTCCATACTGTTCCTTTTCTCTAAATACAGGTGGTCTGGCACAGTCCATTGAGAACATTTGCAGTAGTGTTGTGTTCAGTCTAGATCTTCACCATTTTGACCATTTATTACTCTCATGAAGCTGTGGAACACAGATTAATGTTGTTTGTATTTTTGTGGTGGAACTGGGGATTAAACTCAGGGACTCATGCTTGTTAGTCCGATGGTGTACCACCTGAGCGTTGCCCCCAGCCCTTTTCATTTTAGTTTGTTTTTTTAGATAAAGTCTCATGCTTTTGCCTAGGCTGATCTTCCTCCTACCTACACCACCACACATCTGCCAAGAAAAGACTTCTACATCTAAGCTTTCTTCTAAAAAAATAACATTTATTTAAATCACTCTTGAATTTACAATGTAGGCTGTACACTAAAGATTGTTATAATGGAAAAACAGAAGCTTATTCTTTTTAAGTAGATTTTAAGTATATTTTTTAAGTAGGATTTTAAAGTTCTTTTTCTGGTATGAAAAACTATTAAGATCTCTTCAGCGAACACTGAATGAATTGAAAGAGTACCAGAAGCAGCATGACCACTACTTGAGACAACAGGAGATCCTAGAAAAACACAAGCTGATTCAGGAAGAGCAAATCTTAAGAAATATCATCCATGAGACTCAGATGGCAAAAGAGGCACAGTTAGGTAAGTAAAGACTCCCAACTAATTGAAGGCATACCAGCAAATTAAATTACTTTCATAACTTTCATGCAGCCTTATAGCAGTATAAAGTTGTGTTTATGACTTTCCTAGTTCTTTTTTTTGGGGGGGGGGGGAGGGGTCTGGTCGTGGGGCCTGAACTCTGGGCCTGGGTGCTGTCCCTCAGCTCTTCAGCTCAAAGCTAGTGCTCTACCACTTGAGCCACAGCGCCACTTCTGGCTTTTTTCTTCTTTTGCTTATGTGGTGCTGAGGAATCGAACCCAGGGCCTCATGCATGCAAGGCAAGCACTCTAGCACTGAGCCACCTTCCCAGCCCCTTTCCTAGTTCTTAAAATTTAGATTCATCATGCTAAGTATTGCAAGAGACCTGGGGAGCTGATTTGGCTGATTCTTCCTATACACATTTTGAAATTAAAAGCAAGTCTTAGATTCTAAGAGTTCTGTGTTTCTCCAGTTTTAAAATTCATATCAGCCTCTTAAAAATCATGTTAAAATACTAGTTAGACTGTCGCTGTTGGCTCAAACCTGTAATCCCAGGAGGCTGGGATGTGAGGATCCCAGTTCAAAGCCAGCCCGAGCAGGCAAATCCAAGAGACTCTTTATTTCCAGTTAACCAGCAAAAATTTAGAACTAGAGGCATGACTCAAGTGGTACAGTCCCCACCTTGAGTGAAAAAGCCAAGAGAGAACAAGGACTTAAGTTTAGGTCTCAGTACTGGCATTAAAAAAATGTAAATTTTTTAAAAAAATGTAAATTTTGATTCTGGAAATTTGACGTGGGACCTGATGTTCTGCCTTCCTAACAAGCTCCCAGGTGACAAACGTTGCTTCTTGCTTAAATATTGCACTTTGTGTAACAAGGCCTCACAGTAAGCAAACACAAGCCAGACATGCCATAGAAACAACCTGTACATACTCTGGTTAACACTAGCAAAATAAACTTCCTTTATTTGTTTATTTCTTGTTCCCTTAAAAACAAACACTTTCAGAAGTAAGATTTAAGACTGTAATTTGTCTCAGACAGGATTCTCAACATAGATCAATGGATTAGTTGCAAGGGGTTCTCAGAACTATATATAGAATTGTTTATGTTCAGTTTTTTTTCTGGAGAAAAGTAAATATAGCTTTTATTAAAACTCAGCTGGGCACTGGTAGCTCACACTTGTAATCCTAGCTACTCAGGAGGCTGAGATTTGAGGATCATGGTTCAAAGCCAGCCTGGGCAGGAAAGTCCATGAAACGCATCTCTAATAAACCACCAGAAAACCAGAAGTGGTGCTGTGGCTCAAGTGGTAGAGCTCTAGCTTTGAGCTGAAGAGCTGAGGGACAGTGCTCAGGCCCAGAGTTCAGGACTGACAAAAAAAAAAAAAAAACCTCTTAGAAGCTGGGTGCCGGTGGTTTACACCTATAAGTCTAGCTACTCAGTAGAGATCTGAGGATCACAGTTTGACACCAACTGAAGCAGAAAAGCCTATGAGAGTCTTAACTCCAATTAACTACCCAAAAAAGCTGGAAGTGGATCTGCGGCTCAAGAAACAACACCTACGCTCTGAATTCAAGCCCCAGGACTGGCAGTGGGAGGGCAGGGGAAGAATATGTACAAGCCAGTTGCCTCACCTATAATACTCAGGAGGCTGAGGTCTTTGGATTGCCATTCAAAGCCAACCTGGGCAGGAGAGTCTGAGATTCTTGTTTCCAGTTCACCACCAGAAATCTGGAAGTGGGGCTGCAGAAAAATGTCCAGAGTCTTAAAACTGTGCAATCAGTTGGCTGTACAGTCAGAGATTTCAGTGATCAGGTAGTAGAGAGTCCTTGGGTGTTTTGTTTTGTTCTGTTCTTTTTCTGTGCTGGTACTGGAGCTTGAACTTGGACTCATGTTTTCACTTGGCTTTTTTACTCAAAGCTGGAGCTCTACCACTTGAGCTGCACTTTTTGCTGATTAGTGTGATATAAGAATTGAATTAAATTTCCTGTCCAGTCTGCCTTTGGACTGAGATCCTCAGATCTCAGCTTCCTGGTAACTAGCATTACAGATGTGAGCCACCAACCCCTACTGATTACTTGTTTTATAATTGGAGAAACTGGGAAGGTTTTTGTAATTATTCCAGGTACCCTTGAATAAGTACTCTGATAGATTCTATAGAACTGAATGGCTTAGACTGTGAAAAACATAGGTTATTGCTGACCTTGCTTATATTTGTGTAACTTCTTTTTTATACCAGGAAACCATCAGATTTGCCGTCTGGTCAACCAGCAGCACAGTTTACATTGCCAGTGGGACCAGCCTGTGCGCTACCATCGAGGAGATATTTTTGAAAATGTGGACTATGTTCAGGTGTCTTTCTTTTCCTTTTTTTCCCTAATCTAATTAGCTTTTGCATATTTGAGAATAATAGCACATTTTACTGCTTTGATTTCTGTGTATTAGTTCACTGAAACTTATGGCTGTCATTTAAAGTTTTTATGATTTTGAGTGTTTTGTTAGTGAAGTCAGATTTCGTTGTGAGTATTCAACTATTCCATGTGTTTCCCAAAGTATGCATGTATTTGCTTCTTTTCTACTTTACCCTAGGAGCTAGAATTGGACTGTTACTACTATTCCTTCAAAGCTTTTACCTCCACTCTTAATCTGCAAGTTAAACCTATTTATAAAATATGAGAACTATCTCTGTCCTGGAATCATCAATCCATTTATGTTACCTTACCAAAACATCAGCAAGAAAAACAGAAGTGGTACTGTGGCTCAAGTGGTAGAGCACTAGCCTTGAGCTGAAGAGCTGAGGGACAGTGTTCAGGCCCAGAGTTCAAGCCCCACGACTGACAACAAAAAAATGCTTTCTTAATCTTCTTTGCTTCTACTAACAGCACACGAATTTTATAGCATCATGCTCATTTTAGTCTAGACCAAGGAGGGAAATATTAAACCAAATCTCATAATTAATCATTAAACCTAAAAGAGACTGAATCATACAGGAGAAGTAAAGGGCCAGGAAGGCAAGCCATGTTCTTTTCAATGACAATGTTGCTTGCATATCCATGGAAAATTACTGTTATGGCCTAGTTTTTTCTAAAATTTTGTATAGCACATGTAATTTTTTTTTTTTGTCAGTCCTGGGGTTTGAACTCTGGGCTTGGGCACTGTCCCTGCGCTCTTCATCTCAAGGCAAGCGCTCTACCGCTTGAGCCACAGCCCCACTTCCGGTTTTCTGGTGGTTTGTTGGAGATAAGAGTCTCATGGACTTTCCTACCCAGGCTGGCTTTGAACCGCGATCCTCAGATCTCAGCCTCGTAGAGTAGCTAGGATTACAGGTGTGAGCCACCAGCGCCCAGCTAGCACATGTAATTTTTATTGGTTTATATTAGTTATACAGGGGGATTTCATTGTTACATCTCCACATGTTTATACTGCATTCCAACCAAATCCATCATACTCCCTGCATTCTTCCCTCTAAGAAATAGCATCTCCAAAAACTTTTTTTCCCATTATATTTAACCCACTTTTGATAGTTTTTATTCTTCTTTATCCTCTCCCCAAAAGACTCCCCTCTTGCTAGTCCCCACCCACCTACAGTCTATTTCTCTTCCCTCCCAACCCTTATTGATCATCAGATTTTTTTTTTAGTTTCTTCATGTTGTTCTCATGCATACTTGTGATGTATTACACAATTACCTGTTTTCTTTTTCCATTCTCCTCTCTCCTCCCGAGTAGTCTTTTGGTTTGATACACATTCTATGGTTAGCCATCTAATTGTGTGTATAGGTATTTATACTTATGTGCATGTCCATGAGTATAAACGAATGTCTTATTGGTCTGGCTTCCATATATAAGTGAAAATATATGCTACTTTGTTTTTGAGCTTGATTTGTATTGCTCAGTATGCTGTCCTCTAGTTGTATCCATTCACCTGCAAATGACATGATTTCATTTTTTCTAATAGCTGTGTAATATCCCATGATGTATATGTATACCATAATTGCTTTATCCATTCATCTGTTGTTGGGCACATTCCATCATTTGGCTATTATGAACAGTATTGCAATCAACATGGCTGTGAAGATGTCTTTCTGGAATATTGATTACTCTCCCTCATGTATATGTCTGATTTTTTAATTAATGAATTTAATTAATTTCTGATTTTCTACTAATTGTGATTATCTAATAGCATTTTTAGTTAAATTCTAACTCAAATAGAAAAATGGCTTTCTGTGCCAGTGTTATAAGTATATGTGCACTTCTAGGTACAAATCAAAATTCCTATTCATTTGCAATTGGATTGAACTTTATTTCCTAGTTTGGTGAAGATTCATCAACCTCCAGTATGATGTCGGTGAACTTTGATGTTCCAGCAAATCAGAGTGACAACAGTGATTCCATCATGTCTTCTCCTGTAGCCCATTCTGTTCTCTGGATCTGGGGCCAGGACTCTGATGCATACAGGGTAAGTGTATTCAGGATGATGAATGAGTTTTCTCCCACAGACAAGATCTCTTTAAGCAGTGGCTCCAAAACCCAGTAATTAGGAGGATTTGTATCATATTTATTAAATGAAAGACATTCCACTAGGTAGTAGATGAAAAAGATGGAGGCTCTACCTTGAATTTTTCATCACATGCAGTGATAGAAACTGATTTTGGAAGTGGTGCTTTGGCTTAAGTGGTAAGAGTGCTTACCTTGAGCTGAAGAGTGCAGGGACAGGGCCCAGCCCAGAGTTCACACCCTCTGACCAACCAAAAAAAAAAAAAAAAGCCTTAAAAAATTTCATAGCATGGAAGAAACTCTGATTTCATTTCATAGCCTTGTACTCTTCAGTGTAAGTACAAACTTTTAACAAGTATTTAAACTTGTTGTAATAGTATGCTTTTATATATATCACTTCTTGTCTTTCTTTCTTTGAAGAACTCACATTATCTCACAACTGAACTCATTTCACAACTATGTATTAGTATAATGCTAGGAATAAAGTAGTAAAGTGTCTGACCCTCCTGGAGCTTACATTCTAGTGGAAGATACGTATAATAAGCAAGCAAGATGATAAATCCCCATTTCTAGACCAGCTATGAAAAAGTCATGTTAGCTGGTGGCAGTAAAGAAGTATGAAGACAAAAGCAGTGTATTTTTTTATTCACTAATAAATTTTCAGAATTTGTTTATCCTAACAGAGTTAATTTAGCAATTCTATTTAACTATTTATTATATAAACTCAAATTTGGTAGCTTCAGGGTATAAGTTTAGTAAGCCTCCTATATTTAGAAAAATGAGAATTTTATAAATCAAACAATTGTTAAACATAAGTATATGTATACTTTCAAGTGTCAGTCATAAACTACATATCCAGTTACCTTAAACTAAAGAAAATCTGTCTTTTATTATGGGACATGTGGAGATAGGCTAACTTCAGGTTTGATTGACTGGCTCAGTAATGTTCCCAGTGACTCATTTCTTTACTTGTCTTCATTCTGTCATGTGCAGTATTGGTTTCATATGAAAACTTGTTTTCCTCATGTCACACAGTGACATCTGGTAGCAACTGGAGTGATAAATAACACTTGTTTTTCTCTCTAGATATCTCAAGTGCATTTCTCCTTGTATCTCAATGACTTAAATGGCCTAGGCTTTCCCAAGCTTTAACCAATCTGGTGAAGTGGGTGGAACAACCACTTTAGACTTAGATTCTGCAGTAGAAGGAATATTACAGTATTTACATTCATCACATAGTATATACCACAGTATCTACATTTATAGTAGTAAATTTCCGTACCATTATCAAGATGACATTTGGCATCTTGAAATAGTGAGTCTAGAGTAATCTCTGAGAAGTTCTGTTTCTTCTTCAGGACAAACAGCATGTTCTGTGGCCTAAAAGAGCAGATTGTACAGAAAGCTACCCTCGAGTCCCTGTTGGCGGAGAATTGCCAACGTATTTTCTGCCTCCAGAGAACAAAGGACTCAGGCAAGTGCTGATGGATTTAGCAAAGCACCTGATTCTGCATGATTGTCATCTGACAGTTCTTTGAGAGCACCAGCCTTGGACTTAAAAGGTTAAGTTTTTATCTTGAACTCACCCAAATTTTGAAAATGTGAATCTTGTTCCTTTTTCTTACGCCAGGATCCACGAACTCAGCAGTGATGATTATTCTTCAGAAGAAGAGGCCCAAACCCCTGACTGTTCCATAACTGACTTCAGAAAAAGCCACACTCTGTCCTACTTAGTCAAAGAATTAGAGGTCCGCATGGATCTGAAAGCCAAAATACCAGATGACCATGCACGAAAAGTAAGGCTCACTTAGGCTGGTGTTTATTGCCGTCCAGTATGGGTGACTTCAGAAGCCTCTTAGGTAGAACAAAACTTTGAAGGAAGGGAGTCAGTTAGCTTTAAGTCTATGAAACTGAAAGACAGAGTTAAAGAATTGCTGAAATGATTGAAAAGTCAGTTGTACTATTAAAGGAGTGCCAAGAAGTGTTCCTTAGCACTGCTTACATTCATAGACCACCTGAATACTACTTACTAAATAACTCAGAGGGCTTAGAAGATGAGTAACAGAGAACTCTCTCTTAACCTCTCTGTCTACCAGAGGCCACTCTGATCCCTGCATTTTAGCCTTGAGTCCTCTGGCAAATACAAGTTTATATAATGTGAAAGCTTGAAAGTTCTGTTTCCCTGGCTTTATCAACCCTGCTTTTGTCTTTCATTCGATCCTTAGGAATCTATATCAATTTGATAACTATTTTGCAAAGTTGTGAATGAGTTTTTTATGCTATTTTCTTTCATTTCTGTTGTTTTATATGGCCAGCAATGTGTTACTACTGATTATAGACTTCTATATTTGATAATATCCTGTAGATACAAAGGAAATAATTAGCTTTTTATTGAAAAAACAGACCATCACAACCACCTTTTTAAAACTTAACTGCAAAACCAGCAGTTACTACTTACATTCAGCACACATTTACTGAGGCAGGAAAATATCTTCCAGGTACGTTTTAGTGCTTGAAATAAAAGACAAATAGGCTATGGCCTTTGTTTTAGATTTCCTCACAGTTACATAAGCACTATGAGGAAATGAAGTAGGTTAATTGGGGATCTGGTGCATTCCAGTTAGGCAAGATAGCAGATTCTTAACATATTAGATATTACATGTTGTCTTTGAATAATTTTTCACTGTATTTTTGGCTCTTAGGTGGACTTTAATCAGATACAGCAAATTCATGCTGTGTGTGTATGTCTGTGTGTGTCTATATTGTATCTTTTTAACTTTCTTAGTTAAAGGAAAATAGTGTGAACAGGTCAGCACCTGATAATATGTCAATGATCTCATGCTTTACATATGATTGTAAATAGCTATTCAAAGAAGTTTTTCCTGAAGAGCTAAGTTAAGGCCATTATCTATAGAAATTCTTTTTAAATACCTTTCTTGTTCTTTTCAGTTGAATGTCTTTTTTTTGATGTTTTCAGATTTTACTTTCCCGTATTAATAACTATACTGTCCCAGAGGAAGAAATTGGGTCTTTCTTATTTCATGCTATTAACAAGGTGAGTCATTTTCTTTGAACATCTGAAACTTAGATGCTTACTAATTATAATTAAATGCTAAAATATACTTGCTAAAGATACAATTGAACAAGTACTGTAATTTTTTAACTAACTGAGGTATTTGGGTTTTTTGCAGCCAAATGCTCCTGTCTGGCTAATACTCAATGAAGCTGGACTGTATTGGAGAGCAGTGGGAAATAGCACTTTTGCTATTGCCTGTCTTCAGAGGGCTTTGAACTTAGCTCCACTTCAATACCAGGACATTCCTCTTGTCAACTTGGCCAACCTTTTGATTCACTATGGCCTTCACCTTGATGCTACGAAGCTGCTACTTCAAGCTTTGGCCATCAATAGCTCCGAGGTGAGTGTTTTTATGCATTTTTTTATAGCTCCATATTGTTACATAGAATAACTGTTTTATAGTACAATTTGTGATTTCCTATATTTTAAGAGTAAAAATGTGTTTTTATTTTGATTTATCCTTTTTAAATTTTAAATGAGTGAAATTTAGAATTATACAGTTAACTTTTTTCAGAACTTAATTTAAATAACAAAGACATGACTGTAAAAAGGTAATTGCTACTGTCTTACATCAGTCTGAAACACCCAGTTCTTTTTTAATGATAGTTAATTCTTTACTAATTAATAATTCGTTTATTTGTCATTATTCATAAATAAACAGGTAATAAAGACAACATTCATTAGTTTGGTTAAATCCTTAAGAGTTCAGAGAATCTACTCACCTTCAGTCTCACCTAAAATATTATCCCTGTCTAGAAAAGCCAGTCTTCTGATAGGAAACTTCCTAGGGTCAGCTCTGGTACTTGGGGATTTTGTTGTTGTTGTTTTATTTTTGCTCAAGGCTAGCACTCTACCACCACTTCTGGCTTTTTCTGATATGGACATACTAAGGAATTGAACCCAGGGCTTCATGAATGTTAGGCAGGTACTCTACCACTAAGCCACATTCCCAGCCCTGCTACTTGGGTTTTAACACCATCTTTTGGTACTCCAATGTTCCAGTGTTTGGCTGAACAGTATGAAGAGCTCTGTGTTCATCATACTATTCATTCTAGCACACAAACATACTGCTTAATATTGTACTATTTATAGATCTATAGAGATATTTATACCATCCAAACCAAGCACAGTTTAAAAGCTGTTTTGATAAGAGTAAGTAGGCAGGTAAATATTCATATCCTGGACCTCCCACATGCTGTCAGACAGTAGAGTTATATCAGTACTTTGTGACTGTCTATACTTCCTAACTTTAGAGATATCATTTCTCTTTATTTTTTTTTTGTCTAATTTTAGCATCTCTGAAATTATGGTACACACTATAATTTTGTCCTATTAACTTTAGTATTTTATATCATTATAATACATAGTTAAGTTGATCTTAATAATACCTAAATATGCTCTATATTTAGAGAAATCTTTAGAAGAAGTATGCATGAATAGTTTAGATTTATTTAAGATACCCCCAATACAGATTTTTTTTAAGATTGAGAAGAAAATATTAGTGGTAGAATGCTAGCCTTGAGCCAAAGAGGCTTAGGGACAGCACCCAAGCCCTGAATTCAAGCCCCACCAACCACCACTACCACCACCACCACCACCACCACCAACACTCTCTCTCTCTCTCTCTCTCTCTCTCTCTATATATATATATATATATATAGCCTCTTAAGAGTTTCCTTTGGAATATATATACAAGTTTACAACTGGATTTTGTTTTGGGGGGATAGGTCAGTTGTAGGGCTTGAACTTAGGGCCTGGGCACAGTCCCAGAGTTCTTTTGCTCAAGGCTAACACTTTACCACTGTGAGCCACACCTCCACTTCCAGTTTTCTAGTGGTTAATTGGACATAAGAGTCTCAGTTTCCTGCCCAGGCTGGCTTTGAAACACAATCTTCAGATCCCAGCCTCCTGAGTGGCCAGGATTATAGATCTGAGCCACCAGCATCTGGCTTACAACTGGATTTTAAGCAACATTTATTATCAGAGGAAGTTGCCAGTAAGTACATATTTATCCAATGCTTACTGTGTATCAGGTACTGGTATAGTGAGAACCAATGACATATATGTCATTTGGGACGTGGAGGGCTCACACAGGCTGCATTTCTTTATAACACTTCCTATGGTTGGTTCACTTTCTACTGCTACCAGCTTAAGGCACTTAGGCAATGTCTTTCTGAATCAAAAAGTGCTCTCAAAGATTAGCTGCCTTTTCATGTTTTAAAATCTTTATTAAAATTTTAAATTGTCAAATATTGTGGTACTACATTAAGAATAAAAGGTAAGGCAATGGTGGATCAGGATAGATAACCCTCCCCCCCCAAAAAAAATACTTTAACCAGTGCCCTTTCTCCAGCTACCAACTTTTTTTTTATGATTTTTTTTTATTGTGAAAATACTGTACAGAGGGGTTACAATTACATGGGCAAGATAATGAGTACATTGCTTATCAAGCATTGTAGCCTCCTCCTTTGTTTCCCCTTCCCATCCCTTCCCATCCTCCCCCCGTCCCCCCACCCAATCCTCCCCGCTCCCCCTTTCCCCCCCACCAAAGTTGTAAAGTTCATTTTCAACATAACGACTTGTACATCTCGTCGCAATGGGTCCACCTGTATCCCTATTTAAACGATTTGTTTTTCCCCTTCCCCTCCACAAATTATACCAACATCAAATACAGTGAAAACAGACGTTATACTGTGGGGGAGGGCCATACAAAGCAACAAAGAAATAATCTTATAAATGTGTTAGAAACAATTGTATGAAGAAAAAAAAACATTTGAATACATATCTTAGGGTTCATTTCCCTAATATCACCTTATGTGACCTTTCCTGCTTGACTCAGACATATACTAGTTATTGCAAATAAGGGAAACCATGGGACCTATGTTTCTTTGGGCCTGGCTTACTTAACTTAATATAATTTTTTCCAAGTCTTTCCATTTCCTAACAAATGGGGCAATGTCATTCTTTCTGATGGAGGCATAGAATTCCATTGTGTACATATACCACATTTTCTTGATCCATTCATCTACTGAGAGGCATCTGGGTTGGTTCCATATCTTAGCTATAGTAAATAATGCTGCAATAAACATAGTCGTGCTGGTCCAGCTACCAACTTTTGAGAATACAGACTTCTATGAAAATACTTCATTGTGTTGTCAACTGTACAAATGATTCTTAAAGCTTCTTATGTTAAAATTACTACATAATTTTAAAGTCATAATTTTAAATGGTTAAAAAGCCAAAGGATTGATATGCTGTAACTCTTACTCTCTGGGTAACTAGCAGTGGTTGATTATTACCAAGAATGAGTTTTTACATAAAGCCTTTTGTGTATTCCATGTTTTTTTAGTAGATTGTTATCTGTGCAATTAATAACCCAATAAGAGAATAGGTATTTTGGTAGCTCTAGTATAAGATTATCTATTATGATCAAGATCTACAAATACTTGTTGGACCTGTATCTTGAACTGCATAACCAACTGAAATAACTGCACACTTGTTTTTTACTTTAAAAAAAAATACTAGGGCCATGCACTATACTAAACATTTTATCCATAATAGCACACTTAACAGATCAACCTATCAGATAGAATTTTCCCTTTGGTAGATGAACAGACACTAGAAATTAAATGAACAGAAAAATTAAGAGGTTTACTGAAACTCACAGAACTTGGATTTGAACTGAGAGAGATAGCTCACAGAGCTTACACTCTTTTTTTTTTTTTTTGGTCAGTCATGGGGCTTGAACTCTGGGCCTGGGTGCTGTCCCTCAGTCCCTCAGCTCTTCAGCTCAAGGCAAACGCTCTACTACTTGAGCTACAGCGCCACTTCCGGTTTTCTGGTGGTTTATTGGAGATAGGAGTCTCATGGTCTCTCCACCAGCGCCCGGCTTTTAGAACTTACACTCTTTAGTGATGTTTTGTGAGCTCTGAATTAAGACATATAAAACAAGTTTATGCTGGGACCAGTGGTGGCTCATGCCTGTAATCCTAGCTACTCAGGAGGCTAAGATCTGAGGATCGCTGTTCAAAGCCAGCCCAGACAAGAAAGTCCATAAGACTCTTACCTCCAATAAGCCACTCAGAGAATCAGAAGTGGCACTGTGGCTCAAGTGGTAGAGCACTAGCCTTGAGCTGAAGAGCTGAGGGACAGTGCCCACACCCAGAGTTCAAGTCACACAACTGACCAAAAAAAAAAAAGCACATGTACATTTTGCTGATTTTGTTGGAACTTAGTTTTTAAATTGTGTATAAATACATTTAACAGAGTCTTTTGACTCCATGTCTTATGTTAACAGTATTTTCTCTTTGCCTTTTTATTTGACTTACCATTAGACTTGTCAGAGTCCTCAGTTTTGATTTTTGTTGTTCATCTTGAAGTCTCACAAAAAAATTGGGGGAAAAAAATCTGGTTTTTTTTTTCTTTTCCATGATTGATCTTTGTTGTACACTAAAACTAAACCTATCACAACCTGTGTCCCACTGGTATTATATTTATATATCAAGGAAAACATGTACAATATACCTAACAAAAGACACTTACAAAACTGTTCATTTAGCTTTATTTAGAATACCCATAAGCTGATAAAAACCCAAGTGCCAAACATGAACAACTGTGGCAGATTCATAGCATGAAACACTATGATGCATCAAATAGAAAACGAAAAGAAAAGCTACAGATATGCAAAACACATGAATGAACTTTAGATGGAGTAAAAAAAACCTACTGTAGAATATATGGTATATGTATATAAGAGAACATGCAATGTGGTTCCATTTTTATGAAATTCAAAAACAGGCAAGGTTAGTTTATGGTGATAGATATAACAATGTAACAAAAGTGGTTTCTTTTGGGATGGAGTTGAGTTGTCCAAGGAACTACCAAGGACATAGGAAATTTTCTAAAAGTTTTATATCTTGAGGTGAGTGCCAGTTACAGAAATGTATTCATTCATAAAATTTATTGAGTTATATACTTACAACTAGCATCCATTGTACTTTGTTTATTATGTCAGTAAAAAGTACATTTACATGTGCTTCACAGTTTAGAATTGGCTGGTGTGAGTAAAACAGATAGTTGATAATAAACCTTTATGTGCAACTTAAGAGAAACCAATATATATACTGCAAAGGTTTTGTAAATGCTAATTCATTAACACCTTTGATTTTTTTTCTTTTTCTTTTTAGCCCCTGACCTTTTTGAGCCTGGGAAATGCTTACCTTGCTCTGAAGAATATCAGTGGGGCCCTTGAAGCCTTCAGACAGGCTTTGAAATTAACTACCAAATGCCCAGAATGTGAAAACAGCCTGAAGCTGATCCGCTGCATGCAGTTTTACCCTTTTCTGTACAACATCACCTCTTCTATTTGCAGTGGTAAGAAGTTGTTCTATGCTGACAAAATCATGAGCTCACCTAGAGTTTCTATTCTGATCAACAGAACATAGGAAATGATTTTCTGAATTTCTCCAGAAGGACTTTAGATAGCTGGTGTAATTCTAGAAAGCTAATTTATTACTTACTATGTGCTAATTTAATACTGTATAAAAGCTAATTTAGTACTTCAAGATACTAATAAGCTTAATTATCTCACAATACCTAATTAAGAAAGGCTAATTCAAGTAGATAGCATATTCATCTAGGGATGATAAATCTGTTCGTGTGTGTGTGTGTGTGTGTGTGTGTGTGTGTGTGTGTGTGTGTGTGTGTGTGTGTGTGTTGGTCTTGGGGCTTGAGTGTGTGTGGGGGGGGGGGGGTCTTGGGGCTTGAACTCCAGGGCCTGCTCAAGGTTGGCACTGTACCACTTGAGCCACAGCTCCACTTCTGCCTGGGCTGGTTTCTAACCACATTTCTCAGATCCTGAGTAGTTAGGATTAGAGGCAGGAGCCACTAGCACCTAGCTAAGATTTTGGAATTTCTATTAAGGATGCTCAACCAGTTCCAGTTTTCCCTTTTAATGTAAATTGCTGTTAGATTAAACTGCAAAGTTTAGAGAAAACCATTAAGTAAAAATGATACGGGTTCTTGTGGAACATTCATAATAGTTGAGAAATGAATCAAGTATATGAGTTCTGGGCTTAAGAGTTTAGAAAGGCCTGGTGGCTTCATTTTATCAATGGCACTTTCTGTTAAATAATAGGGAGCTATCTAGACTTAATTTAAATTTAGATAATGAAAGTAGTAAAGTGAATTCTGGATATAATTAAATTACTCTTACAGCCATAAGCATTGTTTCTAAAATATAACTCATTTTATCTTGCCCAGTAATGACTAAAATAACTTCAAGGTAAATAGAAAATGATACCAAGAATCATTCTTTAGAAAAAGATGTTAATAATAATAGAACACAAAGAAACACATGTTTAAATTTTTTTTTCTTGTTAGAAACACAAAAAAGTAACTAGGTTTGAAACAAAATAGTAGGAGGTTTTGGTAGGTGCTTGAAGTAGTAGGAAAGTGGTAGTAGTAGTAGGAAGGTTTTGTAAGCCTAGCATATAATAGACACAAAGCAAATGGAGATGAATCTCCACATTGCACACTTGAGTCTGATACTTAAAGAAGATTGAGACTAAGGGTAACAACTAAGCTGTTGCTAGAAGTCAGCCCTGATGCACTAGCATGGCACCTGTGGAATAGCTAGCACAGCATTTGTGGAGTACTTAATGTGTATTGATTTAAAATAAGTTACAAATGTGTAGTCTCCCTGCATTATAACCTTATTACCATATTAATGTGTAAACAGTCCATGCTAGTGTTAGGGTTAATTAAGTCTCTGTAGTTAGTGAATACTAAATTAAGTTTCAGTTGTAGTTCATCCTCTCTGGTTTTGAGGACATCCACTAATTGGCATTGCTAATCATATTTTATGGTCACATATTTTACTTATCAGGTGGGGAAGTTAGTAAGTACAAAGTGCTTGTACACACTAACCCTCAAAAACATATAGGACGAAGCCAAGTGCTGGTGGCTCATTCCTATAATCCTAGCTATTCATGACACTGAGATCTGAGAATCATAGTTTGATGTCAGCCTAAGCAGACAAATCCAAGGGCCTCTTACCTCCAAAAAACAAACACAAAGCTGGAAATGGAGGTGTGGCTCAAGTCTTGGAGTGCCAGCTGTGAAGAAAAGAAGCCAAATGAGAGTGCAGTGTCCTGAGTGCAGTCTAAGTACCAGCAGGTGCTTGTTTAATTGTTTGTTTGTTTGTGAATAAAAGATGTTATTTTATTTTAGAGTACAGGCTGGCTTGGAACTTGTTTTCTACTGCTCTTAAGTGCTGGGCTTACAAATGTTAAACCATTGTACCTAGTTGTAAGACCAGGTCTGTTTTATCTAGCTTCATCAAACAAGATACTTAAAAAAACAAATTCTACTGAAGCTCTACTTTAATCTTCTGATAAGGATAGAAAGGAATTAGCTTCTAGTTATATACATATAGGTATAGTAAGTTAGGTGAACTCACTGGTTTTTATCTTTATATCTATTTATGTATTTTTGTTGTTGTTGTTGTGCTAGGGTTAGAACTTGGGGCCTTCAGCTTTTGCTAATCAAGTACTCTACCATGTGAGCCATATCTCTAGCCCTTTTTGCTCTGGTTATTTGTGTGTGTGTTTGCCAGTCCTGGGACTTCAACTCAGAGCCTGGGCACTACCCCTGAGATTCTTTTTCTCAAGGTAGTGCTCTACCACTTGAGCCACAGCACTACACTTGGCTTTTTCTGAGTAGTTAATGAAGATAAAAGATAGGGTATCATCGTTTTTCCTGCCTGGCTGGCTTTGAATCAACAATCCTCAGATCTCAGCCTCCTAAATAGCTAGAATTACCGGCATAAGCCACCAGCCCCTGGCGCTTTGGCTATTTTTGACTGTAAATCTTCTATTTATACTTAATGCCTTAGCTGGATGACAGGACTAAACCACCATACCTAGCCTCAGGAAATATTTTACATTGGTTGTGAGACTGCTAACTAAGATGAATTCCCAGTTTAGGAATATTTTTTTAAAAAATGAGTTCTGAATATTTAAGCCCTTAATAGGTTAGGCCATTGGATAATCTCTTCTCAGTTCCCTGTCCTGAAGGAAACAAGCAGTGGTCCTGATAATCACTAGGAAAAAAGGCATTCATGAGATTTAAAATGCATATGACTGAGGACATCTGCTCTGTGTGTGTGTGTGTGTGTGTGTGTGTGTGTGTGTGTGTGTGTGTGTGTGTGTGTGCGCGCGCACATACATATGCTAGGTCTGGTTTTCACTCCCTTTTTTGTTTAATTGTTAGGACTTATTGCTATCAGTCTTACTAGTTTTATACTAAGCTCTCTGAATGGGATAATCTTAGTAATCTGCTAGTTTTTCTTAGCTGCCAGGGGCTAACATCTGTAATCCTAGCTACTCAGGTGCCTGAGATCTTATGATCACAGTTTGAAGCCAGCCTGTGCAAAAAAGTCCATGAGACACTTATTTCCAATTAACCACCAAAAAAGGCCAGAAGTGGAGCTGTAAATCAAGTAGTAGAATGCTACCCTTAAGCTTAATGCTAAGAGACAGTGCCAATGCCCTGAGTTCAAGCCCCGACCACACACACACACACACACACACACACACTATCTGTAAAGGAGTTTAAACCTCTTTCTCTATCAGGCATTGCTTAATCCAGGTAGATCACAGGTATCTGAAGTAATGATCATGGAAAATGACTAGCAGCAGAACAAGTTTTAGGAAACCAAAACTATACGTCAGTGGCAGCTGACAATGTACCTGGTATTGAACAAGGTTGTAATTCCTATGTGGTATGATCCTTTTTTCCACAGTGATTGGAAATACAGCTAGAGTAAACCCCAAAAGCATAAAGTAGCCATGTCAATGACAGTACATTGGTTAAAAAAAACATGTTAAAAATTGAGAGAACAGGAGCTGGAAAGGTGGCTCAGTGGTAGAGCGCTTGCCTTGCATGCATGAGGCCCTCGGTTTGATTCCTCAGCACCACATAAGCAGAAAAAGCCAGAAGTGGGGCTGAGGCTCAAGTGGTAGAGCACTAGCCTTGAGCTGAAGAGCTGAGGGACAGCACCCAGGCCCAGAGTTCAGGCCCCACAACCAACAAAAAAAAAAAAAAAATTGAGAGAACACAAGTCAGATCCTGCAAACCCAGTTAAGATGTACAGAGTGGTTGCTGAGATGGAGGCTTCTGAGTGACTTTTATTTGATGATATAAAACAAAAGGGAAACATGGTTTTCACTTGATTTTGTGCATTGGCTATAAGCACTTAAAAGTAAGTAGATATGCCCAAATCTGAGAGTCTCCAGTTTCATAGCTCTGCAGTGAGTTCTGTGTTAGGGAATTGGGGAACTTTGTTACTAAAATCCACAGGCTGTGCTGGAAATTGCAGGTGCATTGGATACCTGTGGTAAACAAGTAGGTCTATTAACCTACTCACTGTGTGTTATCAATGAAAAGGAGAATTCCTGATGCTTATGTTTTCTTCCTTAAATGTAATTTGTAATTCCTGTAAGATATTCTTAAACTTGATCAGTTATAGAATAACTAGGATCTAGGGTTCTCACTTGAAGATGCTATCCTTAAAATGCCCTAAATCTAAGGAATGTTAAAGACTATTTTCTGTTACTTTGGGTCTCATATAACGTTCTTGCTGTAGACAAGTAGGCAAATCTGCTCTCACATGTTCTTGTGATTACAGGGCCCTTCCCCACCAACTACTCACTTGCAGTAAGAGAAAGGAGAGGCAACTGGTAAACGCTTACACTTATGGGTAGCAAGAAAAAAAATGTGCCTCCACCCCTCCCCATCTGTGTTTAAATTTATTCTAAGATTAGAATTGAATGAAGTAGAATACAGGGTTTTTCTTTTAATGCAGTTTTGTAGTTGAATCAGAAATGTGCTGTATTTAAACTCACAGACTCTTGAAGAAGTTTAACCCTTTATGAAATCTGTGGAAATTGTACCAAATCCTAGTATACAAGGACGCCATTGTAAATAGTCTATTTACAGTACTACAATATTCTTGTCTCCATGTGTTTGCATATGTTTTTGTTTGTTTTGCTGCTCTTACCCATAACCCTTACTCCCCACCAAAAGCACCTATTTGCTTTTCAAGGCCCAGTTCTATAATGACTTGCCTGATCCCCAAATTACAGGTAATTAAACCACTTCATTAACATTCTTTGAGCTTGTTAGGAGCAAGATCCAATCCCTTTTTTTTTTTTATCATCGTGCTCCCTCTTACCTACCATGTGCTCTTAAACTCTCCCTCTAGTGGTTAGTAACAAAATGCACTTCAGTGACAAAGTAGCTGAGGATGTGTCTGATCTATTCAGAACACCTATGTAATAAATATGACAAAGAATAATTAAGTTGTTTACACCCATTATTTACCCAAACATGAACTCAGTATGCATGTAGATATATAGCTCTTTTTTTTAATGGCCCAGCTTCTACGATAGATGAGAAAATAAGTCTTATCTACTATACGCTCATACATCAAGTAAGTATTCTCTTATTGCTTAGTCCACTGTTTTTAATGCAAGTTAGAAACAAATACCCTGTTGTCTCCTGTTCAAAATTAACAGTGATGAGTAAATTAACAGCCATTCTATTAAGGTCTCAGTAAGCCTAAGGAAGTCTTGTCTCCCTAGCCTATGGTCCTGCACACATCATGTACTGTGAACTGCCTACCTATAAGACAGTTTTTGTTTGTGTTACAGACTCTCAAAAAATGAACAGAATTAAATTTTTATAGTAGGAAGAGAATAGAGAAACAAAAGATGTAAGTAGGGGAATGGGACATTACTTCAGAAAGCACAAAATTGTACTGAGTTCTGGTGTTACTGGCTTATCCTTGCTTTGGTAGTGTTAAGTTTTGTACTACCTCTGTCAAAGTAGGGAAAAAAAGCTTTACTCAGTATCTTTATCATCATTATTTCCTTTTGACTATTAAGAATAGTTAGGTTTATTTATTTCCCAGTTAAGAGCTGTCTTTGACAAGTGTGTTGTTCTTCATAATGAATTATATTCAGTCAGTTGGGTGTGCAGAATTCTTCGTTATTTTATTTTAATGTTCTTATATGTAGTGCCCTGAACTTAATGCCTTATCCCAGATGGTGAAAACAGAAATGGAGACAAATCAGCTACTATCTCTGCCCTTTTATAGGATAATCTGGAGAAAGAAAAACACAACCACATTAACTCTTCATGGACACATACACCACACCCTCTGTCCCTGTCATTGCCTCTGAAACACAGGAGAGAAGTCCTGGTACTATTTCTTTGCCCAACACCTTGTTGTTACTTGCCTAAAATACTGCTACCAGTTTTCTTTCTCTTAGGGATAGCACTGACTCATGGAAAGCCAAGAAACTTAGTGGTTAGATAGACCTGGTTCATATCTATTTCTTACTTACTGTTACTTAGGCGGGTTATTTAATTTCATTGAGAATTAGTTTGTGTATAAAGGAAGGGTTAATAATACTTCACAGGGTTTTTTTAATAAGGATTAAGTAGAAGGAAGAAACAAAAACGTTGAGTAAGTATTGACTCCCTTCCTGTAGTTCCCCCTTTTGTAGACTATATCTGCTTCAAAATTCAACTTTTGCCTGCTCAAAGCTTTTCTCTGAAACTTGGAATGCCATATTTCCTATGTGCTGTGTGTTTTGTATTTACTCTCTTTCATATGGCTTCGAATCTACTCAAAAATCCTCATTTTCTGACACAGCTTTATTGTCTTATGGTAGTCTGTGATATATGTGAATACATAATTGGAAAATGAAAAGTGACTCACTAAGCACGTACTCTGAACTCATTCATTAGCAAAGATGTTGAGTCCATTGCTTTTTCTTAGCATGGTAAGGTATACTTCCATTACAGAACCTAAAAGGGTACCATCAAATCTAGAAAAAGGCTTGTCTTGTTTTTCATTGGTTCAGAGAGCTTGATGGGATAACATACATCTCCTTAAGACAACATCCTCTAAAAAATAAACCTTTAGAGCACTATCCAATGTCCTGGTAGAGGAGAGGAATTACTTACACATTCTTAATAATTACCCTTTAATAGAAAGTCTAAGGCCTTCCAGGTAATATCTGTCTTCAGTAACATGGGAGAACATAAGAGAAAGAAAACTCCCATTCAGCCAGCCAGATCAGCTGGAATAAACCAGTGGCAAAGGAGAGCATGTCATAGGCAAGTTATTGACATACCAGACACAGCAGCCTGGTATTCCTTACCCAGAAAGTAATCATCAAGTTGAGCTAAATAGTAGCATTTTGTCCATATTAACAATTCCTTTTTTTTTCCCCCGTCAGTCGTGGGGCTTGAACTCAGGACCTGGGTGCTGTCCTTGAGCTCTTTTTGCTCAAGGCTAGGACTGTACTACTTTGAGCCACAGCACCACTTCCAGTTTTCTGGTGGTTAATTGGAGAGAAGAGTTTCATGGACTTTCCTGCCTGGGATGGCTTTGAACCATGATCCTCAGATCTCAGCCTCAGCCTCCTCAGTAGCACAGATTACAGGCATCTCATTGGCGAACTGTAGGAGAAGTCAGTCTTACTATATGTGTTAGAAAGTACCAAAGGGTGTTAGGATTCCATTTAAGATTTGGCTTTGCTTAGAAAAATCTTTATCCACTTGACCAGAGCTTATTTTCTAGGAAAAAAGAAAGGATCTTTGTTACGTTGCAGTCTTAAGGTGAAATCTCTGCCATCCTCCTCCTTTAATTCCTTGGTTTTTAATTTTTTCATAATCCCTAACCTTTTGGTCTATCTCATTTTAAGCTGTGATGCAAGAAAAGATATTTCTCTGCTGTTAGTCATCTTCCTTGGTTTTATTCCAGTATGAATCTGCCATCTCTCAATTTTGAAAAGCAAATGAAAACTTTGTGATATTTATTAAGTCAAGGAACTATGTCACAGACATCATAGATAGAATGAGGTCTTGAGACTTGCTCTTTGTTGCTAATCTCCAACCCCAGAAACACTGATTCTTGCAGTAGCACGCCAACTGAAACTTCAGGTGCCAAACCTTGCGTCACAATAATGGTCTGACCTTGGGTGTTCCCGTTCCCTGATTTGTGTGTGTTTAGCTGAAGAAAAACTACCACCATCATTGCCTTTTTACTCCTCTTGATGTTTTGGGACCTTGCATTATGGGGTAACATGAGAGATGTTTCTAATGTGCTTTATCTGTGTCTCTTGTCATTGAGGTCATTGTCATGAGAAAACCCTGGACAACAGCCATGACAAGCAGAAATATTTTGACAACTCCCAGTCACTGGATGCTGCTGAAGACGAGCCCTCTGAGAGAGGAACAGAGGCGGACACTGTACTCTCTGTTGAGGACTCAGGGAGGGACACGGGTGCTCTTAGACTTGAAAGTAAGTTGATTTGACCTGAGCTGTGCTTCTGGGGAAAAATCAACTCTCAAGCTTTAAGCATAGGCTTTTCTCTTCTTTGAAAGTGTGTTTCCCTCTTGTAACAGCCACTCGTGCTCTAGAATCATGAAGGTGACCCTCAGCTGATGAGGCTGAAGATAACCCAGAGTGTGAAAGTGCTCTTCATGTTTCCTTTTTTCCTCCTCTCCAGTCTCTCATTAACTCGAACAAATTTTATTCGTCAGTGTACCCGTCTTTCTTTGTAATGCCATTACGCTGTTGAGCCAGTCAACAAAAAAAGAACGTCAAATGTATTTATTTTTAACCCAATAAAAATTTGAGGATTTTTTTTTAATGGGCATACATAGGTTGTATTAATATTCCACTTTGTGGTCCTATTTTGAGCTAATCTTAACAGTTCTCAGTAAGATTATCCCCCCATTTAAAAGTACCAAAACAAACATCTTTTTTATTATGCAACCCACCAGTTTTCTGCCCTTGGAATTAAGTATGACTTCCCATTTCCTGAAGCTCTTGTCTTCTTCCCTCTAGGCTTCTAAAATTATTTGCTTTTGACTCTTGCCTGTCCTCAAACTTTCTTTGTTAGTCTCCTTCACTTATTCTTGACTCTGCCTTCATTTGTTGGGTTATTCAGTATTCTAAGCTGATCTTCTTTTCTTCTCCTACTGTATCTTACCTCATGGTAACTTGATACCTGTGTATACCAATGACTCAAAATTTCGATTTTCTCTACAACTCCGGATCTTATTTCCTCTTTTTAAGTGGACTCCTATCTTAGTGTGCCACAGGTACTTTAAATGTAACATATCCAAAGTTGAACTTGATTTTATTGTTTGCTGTATTTTCTGAACTGCTGTTAATTCCTATATTCTTGGTCTCCTAATATATCACGATTCAACCAGACACTACTTTGTCTGAATCTATCAGATCTTCATTTATTCTTTCTGCCATGGCCTGCATTCAAATAGTCTTGTCTGTATTAGCCTTTTAATTTTGTTCCCTGAGTGTAGTCTGTTATATTATATATGGGGGGAGAGAGAGAGACAGTCAGAAAAGGTATACATAAATGATAACAGAATTTCGAAAGCAGAAGTAGCTGCTGTTACCAATTTCTTATGTGTCCAAAGAGTTGATAAAATATAGTTCTGCTCAGGTAAGTTTCCTAATTTTCAATTTTTCAGTGGTTCTCCATTACCTGTTGGAAGAATTAGTTTTCAATTTGTCAGTGGTTCTCCATTACCTATTGGAAGAAGTTAAATTAATGTGGGAAATGAGGTTAACTCCCCCTGCACTCCACCCTCCCTGTTCCCTGTCGACTGAGTCACCCTGCAGGAGGAACACATGGCAGGAAGAATAACCTTTCACCTTTCCTCTCATGCCATACTGCTTTGGTCCTCCATGTCTTGCTCAATTTAGGAGTGACCTTATATATGATTTTCTGTAAAGAGAAAATGCTTTCACCTTTCCTAAATACAGTTCAAGTATCACCTGTTCTGTGGTCATTCACAAAGATCTCTAGGCACATCTACCATCTTCTTCCTACTTCCTTCAAAGCACATTACTTACACCTTTAAATGCTTATATAGCTTGTCTCCCACTAGACTGTGTGTACCATGTCCACTCTAATTTGAATTCTTGGGTACAGTATTTGTTAATGCAATGTTGTATTTGTCTTATGTAGATTTGATTAATTTACTTAGTAATTATAAAATCTTTCTTCCCTCTAATATTATCTGTAAAAATGATGTCTAAAAGAAGCCAGTTACACCTTAAAGGGAGAGAAGAATGCTAGAATGCTAGAGTGAATGAAAACTGATGTTTGCAGTCACTTGTGAAAACTAGTTTAATATCTTTTACCAGAAACTATTGTGTTTTAAGAAAATTAAGTTTCCTTTAATTCCCAGTGATTAAACTGGTTAGCTAGTTTGTTAATTTGCAGTGGGCTTCCAGCCTCATGTCTGGCTGGCTGGCTGTCTCTCTGGCTCTGGCTCTCTGGCTCTCTCTCTCTCTCTCTCTCTCTCTTGTTCTCTCTCTCTCTCTCTCTCTCTCTCCTTTGTGCTGGTCCTAGGGCTTGAACTCAGGACCTGGGCAAGGTCCCTAAGCTTTTTTGCTCAGTGCTAGTGCTCTATCACTTGAGCCACCACTCTGCTTCTAGTTGTTTTGGTGGGTAATTGAAGAGAAGAGTCTCAAAGACTTTTCTACCCAGGCTGGCTTTGACCCCTCTGTCCTCAGATCTTCCTCCTGAGTAGCTAGGATTATAGATGTGAGTTATTGATCCACCAGCACCAGCTTTATGTCTTTTTTTTTTTTTTTTTTGCATCAGAGTACTCATACAACATTAAAAGCATTTTGAAAAATCTTGTTTTGAAGAAAAATTAAAAATACAAGTAGTCCTCCAATAACCCTTATAATAAGTCTACTTTTTAGTATTTTATAATTTATGAAGCATTATGAATTATGTATCTTTGTGATGTAGATACTATTAAGCCCACCTTATATATGAGAAAATTAAGATAAAATTAGGAAGAGTTAGGCGCCATGTCAAGCTCTTCAGTAGGGGGAATAACAAAGTTTATCCTCAGACCTTCTAATACAGTGTTTTTTACCTGTGGTCTCAGGATTAGGCGTTTAATGGGTTAAGATCTTAGTTTGTGGTAGTTTATTTTTTAAATGGAACTAGCATCTGGTTCTACCATTATTTTATGAAACCAAATTTTTTTGATGGTACTGGAGATTGATTTTATGGTTGTTAGATACTCTACCACTTCAAACCACACCTCAGACTACGAAATAGGAATTTATTTATTATTTTTTTTTTTTTTTGGTCAGTTCAACTTGTGGGAATTGAACTCTGGGCTTGGGCGCTGTCCCAGGGCTCTTAAGCTCAAGGCGAGCACTCTACCACAGCACCACTTCCGGTTTTCTATTGGTTTATTGGAGATAAGAGTTTCACGGACTTTCCTGCCCAGGCTGGCTTGGCGGCACGATGCTCAGATCTCAGCCTCCTGAGTAGCTAGGATTACAGGCATGAACCACCAGTACCCGCCTAAAATAGAATATTTTAATGTCACAAAAGTACAAAGTCTTCACAAGCATATGCACAAAAATAGTAGATGCACAGTAAACATCTGTTCAGTTAAAGGGAGCTGAAACATGTTTGCATAGAGTTATTGTCCTGTTTGTTTTCTAAGTTATCTTCTCCAACATCTGTTTCTCTTGCTATAATGGATAAAAGAAGAGTGCCACTAGGCTCATGATTGTTGTTTTCTACTCAGAAGTGAATCATTTCCCTACCTTCCTTAGTCTGGATAGTTGAACCTAAGTCTTTTGTATTTTCTGATTATTCATTGGACTTGAAATATGTATACCATTATTATTTATGCATTATCTTCAGCAAATCTGCAGCTTTGCAATCTGTCTACAAACAAATCACTGCACTGAAAGAGAACACTAAAACTGCAGATGGTATTGCACAAAGGCCTTGTGTCAGTAGAATCTTAATTTGGAACAAAGTTTGTCTTAAGTCCTTGGTATACCCTCTATTTTGCAAGACAGAGATGTATTGCTCTATAATATCATTATCAAAGGCAAATGTGCCCTACTAGCCTTCAGAAACAATTTAGTATTCAAAACTATTGAGATGACTGGAACAAGGCTTCCTGGAGGAGTATTTTGAGTCATATTTTGAAGGAAGGACTTTGCTTTGCCATCAATTTGAGTATGTGGTCTTTAGCTCTGTTCCCTGCCCATATGTTTCATTGTGAATCTAGCACTCATCTGCCCATCCTTTATTAATAGTATTTCGTATCAAATACAGTCACCTTCTTTTACTCACCTTTCTTTACTGGCAGTAACCACAGCACATCATTCACTGGCAGGCATCATGACTCAGTCTCTTTCCAGATGACCCTTTCCACTTCCATTGATTCAAGCCTTTTGTAATATTAAACTAAAATATGACTACTCATTTCTAGATTTGCTTTGTGGAACTTAACGTCAGTCTTGTTTTTCATTTTACTAGATCTCCTTAGGTGCCTGGAGATGATTATTGTTCCTGTCTCACCTCCTTCTTCATGTCCTCATTTCCTTTCAGCTAGATGACTGTTTACATCCTCAATTCTTTCAACAACTCTTGTTACGGTTGCTAGCCCCATCACCACTGTCAAACTAATTTCACTGGAGTTTTTCAAAATCTTTCTAGCAAAATATATTTCAAGCCTGGTTTTTGTGCTTTATGGCATTCGTTAGGTTTTTTTTTTTTTTGTATTTTGGGGTTTTCAGTTAGGTTTTTTTAGATAGTATACTAGCAGCTTTCACAATTGGTTTGCCCTTGGTTTCTTCAATCCTTTTCATTTCATGCAATTTCAAGTACATTCACCAAGTTTTTATTCTATGAATGTTTTTGCTTTTGAAATTTCTTTTTTTTTTTTTTGGCAGTCATGGGGCTTGAACTCTGGGCTTGGGCGCAGCTCAAGGCGAGCACTCTACCACTTGAGCTACAACACCACTTCCAGCTTTTGCAATTTCTTAAACTGTAGTGCCTAAATTTAAACATGAATCTCCAGGTTTGTTTGGAATATTCCAAACTCATGCTAGGCTGCTTTTATTTTAATCACAGACACCTGTGCTTACATCCTTCCCCCACCACTTCTAGTCTCTATGATCCTTTTACTTGTGGAGGAGGACATTAAATTCCGGGCCTCACACTTATTACTTGAGCCCTTTTTGAGACCAAGCCGTTTTTTACCTTCAGTCTTGTTTGTTTGTTTTTAGTTATTTTTCAGGTAGTCTCATGTTGGTTTTTCCTAGGGCTGGCCTCACACTGCAATTCTTACCTATGGCCTAGCACATAGCTAGGATCATAGGCACATGCTATTATGTCCAGCTTATTGATTGATAAAGTCTCCCTAACTTTCCCCTATCTGGTCTCTAAGATATCTAACTTCTGAGCAGTTGGGATTACATACATTAGCCACTACAACCAGCCTACCTGTGGTTCTTGACAGATTGCCTAACACAACTCAAACTTAGCTGTCACTTTTACCAACACTCCAAGAAAAGAATGTGAACTTACATAAACCTCACTGTGGGTACTCATGTTCTGTTCAACGTCACAATATTTATTCTTCTTTTCCCAGTGTGAAAATGGTGCCTGGGAAAAAAAATAAAAAATAGAGATGTGGGTCTCACTCTCTGTGTTTTCAGTTTATATCATGCCATCTGTCCCACAGACAGGAGGCCTAAGATTTACTTCTTGCTTCAGACATAATTTAGAACATTCTGAGATTTCTCTGCAATCCACACTTCTCACCATAGCAGAATCTGTATTTCCCATTGTGGAAGAGAGTTGCAAATGGAAGTGGTCTGCACAAGAAGCCCCACATAGGATAGATCTCCAGATACATTCCTTGTTTCATGGGTTGTAGAATGACGTGCCAAGCACATTGCTAGACATGTAACAGAGTATGAAACAAGTTCATGGACAGGGTATGAAATTTCAGCCCTGTCTTGTTGCCCTCTCTTAACTGCATTGCCTCTGTCAATAACATTTGCTTTTGTGCACGCATGCACGGTCCCAGAACTTGAACTCAAGGCCTTAAACTCACATGACTTGCTTGCTCATAGTTTGGCTCTACTACTTGAGCCACACCTCCAGCTCAACTTTTTGCTGGCTATTTTGGAGATAGAGTCTCACAGACTTTTTTTCCCCAGGCTGCCATTGGACTTCAGTCATCCAGATTTTAGCCTTCTGAGTAGCTAAGTAGGAGTATGAGGCACCAGCAACCCGCCAAGAACTTTTAGATTATATAGAGTATCAGATATGATGCTAAAGGTATGATGATTCACTTGTGGCTTACCCTTCAGCTCAGTTAACAGTACATTAACACATGACAAGATGTGTTAGACTGTAAGAGTTTAGAATCTTGTCAGGAGGGCAAGGTAGAAGCAAGAGCAGCAAACTCTCAAAAACCAGACTGTTTTGGGGTTCCCATTAGTTCCTTCCATAGCTGTGACTGCTGTGTGCCAACGACACACTATTGTAGCACCTGAGGCCAACACTAGAAGTTATATTTATACTACCAACCACATAATTTAAGCAGATAACCAACCACTTGTGTCTGAGTATCTTACAGAGTATCAGCAAATCATCACGCTTGTTTCAAAACTCAATTTTAAAGTAATAAGTACAAAAGCAGTAGAAACAATAACAGTGACTTTAGAAAATCTAAAAAGAAATTACTTGAAAAGATAGCAGTACGTTTTGTAGTCACTTGGTCATAAATGATAAGCTCAATAGTCCGTTAGTTTTTGTTGTTGTTGTTTTCCTAAGAGAGAACAACTTGTATTTATCCCACTATCTGACATCAAGCACTAGGGAGAGAAGGAAGAGACGGCACCAGCACTGAAGTGTCACTGTTGATTTGTGAGTGGCTCAGAGTTTTAAGTGTTTGCAGCTACAATGGTCAGTTGTGCTTATGTCCTCAGAGACTGATACTGGTATTTCTCAGGTTAATCTGGTTGTATGTGTTTGAGAGTTTTGACATTGGCCAGAGCAGGCTGGACTTGCCAACAATAGAAGTTGCAATTCCAACTGGAATAGCAGCCTGGCACTGTGGGAGTTGTCAACCCAGAGTGCTCAGGTTATCTAGTGGCTGCATGTTAAAAAAGGAGGCATTATTGTTATTTCTTTTTGTACTCCATCACTTCCAAAAAAGATTAGAGATGTCTTTCATGGAGCACATAATATAAAATGCAGCCATTAATTCAAAATAAAGAACAAAAGTTAATGTCACCAAGACATGAGAAAAAAGAAAACATTCTGTTAAGACTCTTGACCTAATCTTAGGAGTCTCATTGTTATCTAAGCACAGAGGGGAACCTGGAGGGGTATGTATCCTTAGAAGAGAATTTTTGCTAGAACATTGTCTTTTGAGAAATTCATGGAAGTCTTTATATATGCTTCACAGCATCAATGATACCTCAGTAGCCATTTTAGGAAGAATTTGTATCAGTATAGTGCTACTTCTTACATCTGCCATTAGGAAAATGGGAGCCTTCATCTGGAATTAGGTTTCCATTAAGCCATTTATTTGTTCAGTTCAGACAATTAAGCAGCTCTCAGGTGGGACACACAGCTATATTTCATGATAGTTGCATAAAGCTTCAAGCAACCAAGCTTTATGTTCTTTATTAGATAAATAACAAAGTTTATCTTTTCCATCTTACATACAAAGCAAGTGGATCTTCTCTCAAAACCTATGTAGATTATAGCTTTCTCCTTGCTCACTGGTGGTATGATCCATGACTGCCTGTCATCTAGCTATTGCCATTGTTCTCATCAGGCTTTTGGCAAAAGCTCATGACAAAGATGATACTCAGTTGTGAATTTTGAAGATGCTGAATGGTATTTGTAAGAAGATAGGCTATAGAAGTGCTTTTAAGCAGAGCTGAAATTAAACTAAAAGCAAGATTTGAGTGCATGCTGTGTATCTGTTAATAACATGCTAGTTCTTGAATTTCAGGTACAGTGGTTGAAGAAAGCAATGGCTCTGATGAGATGGAGAATTCAGATGAAACAAAGATGTCAGAAGAGATACTGGCTTTGGTGGATGAGTTTCAACAGGCATGGCCTCTGGAAGGCTTCGGGGGAGCACTAGAAATGAAGGGGCGGCGTCTAGACTTGCAGGGAATACGGGTGCTGAAGAAGGGTCCTCAGGATGGAGTAGCCAAAAGCTCTTGCTTTGGGGACTGTAGAAGTGAAGACGATGAAGCCACAGAATGGGTACGATTTTGCCAGTTCAGTCCTTGGGATAATTAGCCAAGCTCAGCAACTCGTGATATGCAAGGGTAAAGTGGTGGTTGGCAATATGACACTATTTAGGTCCACATTCTGGGACCACATTCACATTAGAATTGTCTTCCAGGGAGCATTTCAGTGTGCTTCGCCAGCTCTTTGGGGAGGTGAGAGGAATGGAAGAGGTGTGAAACCATATTCAAATCCTGAAAACTTGAAGGAACTGTCCTCATCAGATGTCTTTATTTTCAGTGCTCTCTATACACTCCTTGAGACTACATGTTTTTGTCGTTTCACTGACCATTTTTCCTTTAGACCTCTTAAAACTTAAACTTGGGTAGGTGTGGCTGAGGAGCCAGAGGGGAGGTAGAGTGAGTGACAGATTTTCTCATTGGTCTCATTTGTCTGTAACATGTTTCTTTTCCCCAGATCACATTCCAAGTCAAACGTGTAAAAAAACCCAAAGGAGATCATAAAAAAACTCCTGTGAAAAAGATAGAATCTCATCAAGCAGAAAATGGACATCGTTACCAAGCAAACTTGGAGATCACTGGCCCAAAGGTAGCGTCTCCTGGACCACAAGGTAAACGAGAATTTAGGATGCTAATTTCTTCCCTCATGTTTCATTTCTGCATTTCTCATAAGGCATGTGTGTATGACTGAGTAGTTCAGATAAGAAGATAAAAGGGCAGTATCAGTCATTGGTATGAAAATTTTATTTTGATATTTACTTGCTATTTAAGTATTGGCTTATATTTTTATCACATGAAGCTTAACTATCCTGTAGATATTTTTACATTACAATCCATTGTGATACATAAAGGTGTTGGTTTAAAACACATGGGTGCAAGTACCAGTTCTGCTATTTTATCTTCCTGTTCCTTATTTTTCTTATCTATAAAATGAGACTAATCGCCTCTTCTCTACCTTACAAAGATTAGTCTCTTAATTCTAAGAATTATGAAGAATTATAACACTTTTATATTTTTGAAGGAATTTAAATTCACTAGGAACCTTATAGCACAATAAAGAATAGCTAGTATGTTTTTTGTAGGTCAGACAAAAAGTACTGGGTAAATGTTTTAGAACTGCTTTGCAGAAATGGAAACGTAAATGTCAGGTTTGGAGAACATAAATGTCAGATTTGACATGTACTTTTAGGGGTTCCTAGTAGTCCTGAAGCCCATCTCTGAGCTCCAGACACCTAAATCTCTCTTTTGTAGTGCTCAATAATGGTGATAAAATTACTTTTGAGAAAAATTTTTAAAAAAATTTTTGTGTGCCAATACTAATACTGCAGCTTGAGCTCAAGCCTCTCACTCTCACTCAGCTTTTTCATACAACCAGTGCTCTACCACTTGAGCTATGCCCCCACTTCTGGCTTTTTGATAGTTAATTGAAGAAAAGAGCCTCATGCATGTGTCTGCCTTGGGCTGTCTTTGAACCAAGAATCTCAGATCTCAGCTTCTTGAGTTGCTGGGACTTTAGGCATACACAACCAGTACCAGGCTGTTATACTTAAACTGGGTAATTTTTACCACCTTTAACTGAAAACTCAACTTATAAAATGTGTCTCATTGTATCGGTATAAGCACTTTCCAGAGTGCTTGAAAGCAGAGACACGTGATAAAATATGGAGTAGGATCAGCTTGACTTAGACCCCAAAATAAATTTCTAATAAATCCTAGGGACTGTAAGAAGTTCATTTTGTCATCATTGGATTTAAGAGCTTCAATTATTCCTCCGGTTAAAGTAAGCTAGCTTTTGTTAAGGAAGGAAAAACTGTTGTCTGTGTCTCTGTCAGTAAAAAAGATATCCAGGCTATAAAACATGGAAATGTACATTCCAGTGGATCAAATATTAAGTGCAATAAATCGTGAAAGAAGAAAACTTACATGAATATCCCTGTTCTCTTAATGTGAAGGACTTTCTAAGGCAGGGATAAAAAACTAAAAGCAGTAACTGACATTAGAAAGACAAAGGACTAAAAGTTATTTTTGTAGAATATTGGTATAAATTTACAGAATGCATAATAAAAGACACCAGGGTCATTGAAAGAATACCTACAACTAACATGAAAAATATAGTACTCCACTTGAATAATGTATGTGCAGTTATTTCACCAAATACATATATACATTTATAGACATACCCATGAAGATCAAACTCCTCTGTACTTCAGCTATGACAGAGTATTCGAACAGGTTTTTCTTTTGTTCTGTTCTATTCTACAATGCTAAGGTTTGAACCCAGGACCTTTCACATGCTAAGCAAGTGCTATTTCATTAAGCTACACTCTAGAACCATGTAAGCAATTTAATTGGACACAAATTGGTCCCAAGTAGAGCATTGGATGTACTTGCAAGTAAAATCATGAAATTGCTCATTGTCATTGAAGTAAAAAGTCCTCACTGTGGGAAAGATGCAAAAATACTAGAAAGATTCAGTATCCCAGTTTTAAAATAAATAACATTCCATGCACTACCAAATAATAAACTTCCTGGTAAAGTCTTCCAAAATTCTAAAGCAAGTTCTTAAACAGATTGTAAGTCCATGGAGTGGAGGGTGGCGATCACTGAGAGCCATAGAGATGGACTGAGAGCTAATAATAACATTTAACTAATCTCATTTCCTTTTTTGGTTAGGGCTGCTAGACTGGAAGACCAGGGAAGTGCCATAGACATAATGTAACGGAATTTCAGCGAGGCACTTAACAGAGCCTTTCATGATATCTTTGTGAACGAGATGGAGAGATGTGGGCTCGAAGTTTCCCACTGCCTGCAGGATAAAGTGCACACTTCTTAATGTGGCATACAAGACCCTTTACAACCCTGCCTCTCTCCACCCCTCAGCAACATCCTTTGAACCAACCATGCTCTTATTTTACAGTTGTGCCTTTGCATATGCTGTTCCCTCTGCCTGGAATGCCAATATGCCATCTGTGCAGTACTAAATTATCACGCAACCTTAACCTTGAAACTCAAGTGCCATTTCCTCCTTGATACCTTCAAACAGTATTAGCTGCTGTTGCCCCCATGCAGCAGTTGACTCTAGCCCCTCCCTTCTCATATTATGTCTGTTGATGTCCACCATCCTCACTAGACTGTGAGCTCAAGAGCAGGCTGCCTTAATACTCTTGTCTGTAACCCCAGTGTTTTACACAGTTCTGAGTCCCTTTAGTACGTGCTCAATAAATACTTAATAAGCTTTTTCAATGCAAACGGAAAATAAGTTTTTTGGTGAAATGTATGGTTTGTTTAAAGTGATTAATTTAACAGTTAACTGAAACTATTCCAAACTGTTCTGTTTTATTAAAGTCTAAATCTAAATCCCTGCCTGAACTTAACATCGTTTTCTATTGCTGGTAAATTGCTACAGTATAAAGAGTGCTATGCAAAACTAAAGTTTTCCTTTCTGTCTCAGATAAGACTTGGTTTCAGTCTTTTATGGGAACTCTCATCTAAGTTAAAGGGCCTCCGCCCAAAAGATAGTACCTGGGTTAGATGATTAAACAAAATTTTAGAAGCCCTAGATAGCTTTAAAGAGCTATTGGGAGAAGTATGTATGTTAGAGTCAAACATCCTGCGCTAAATCCCAGTTCTGCCACCTGCTAGCCAGCTGATTTGGGGCAAATGACTTAGAAACTAGTTTTTCCTCTTAGACATGAGAATTAAAGCCTTCCTTATACAATTTCAAGCATAAAACACTTAGCACATGACCTGAAAGTACTCATAAAATAAATAGTAACCTTACATTATCATTATATCCCATCCTGATGCTTTACTTTACAGTAGTGGTTGTCCACTAAGGTGATCTTGCACCTCGGGGGACAGTTAGCTATATCTGGAGACATTCGTGGTGATCTAAGGCTGACACCCAGTGGGTAAACACCAAGAATCCTGGAAAACTCCCTTCAATGCCCAAAACAAGCCCCTACAACAAAGAATTACATAGGTCAGAGTGTCAGTAGTACCAGGTCTTGAGAAACCCTGTTGTAGAGATACATGTTTTTATTAAGTTAGAGTTTTCTTTACAAAATCATCATAAAGAAAGATAAAACAAGTTTTGTAAGAATGTTAGTATTTTAGAATGTCTTAATCTTAAATGCAACTAAAGATTGTATTTTGACAGTCTTTTTTGAGAATAAGGCTTCATGTAAAGATGATTTTTATTTCCATTGCTGTGAACGGTGAGGTTTTAATTTCCTGTTTGTTGATGGTGGAAATTATAAAGACTAGAAGAATAGCTGGCACCGTCAAATACACCAGGGCAAATGGTACCTTGGATTCTTTTCCTTTGCACTTGTGTCCATTCATGACATGCTTTCCTTCCAGGGAAAAAACGTGACTACCAGAGTCTTGGATGGCCCAGCCCAGATGAGTGCCTCAAACTCCGCTGGGTAGAGCTAACTGCCATCGTGAGTACCTGGCTTGCAGTTTCTTCAAAAAACATTGAGTGAGTATCTTCACTTGTATGCCAGTGAGCATACCAGCCTCCAATAACTTCAGGGTTGCTTTTTATGTCAACAGTTGTCAGAAGAGTCACTTTTCAGGAGCTCAGGTCAGCAGAGAATGACTATTATTACCTTCAGGTCACAGATGGATTCACCCCATTGTCAAAAAGCAATGACTCTGCTCTCTTGACAGGGCCTTTCCCACGTTGTGCAAGCTATGAAAAGTAATATGGGACTTAGTTTGAATGGAAGGTCAGACACCTCTCTGTAGAAAAACCTTCATCTCATTGACATCCTTGCATTTGTAGAGGAACCAGAGCCAATCCAGATTTACCAACACTTGTCAGGATACACGCTGAGCTAGGACCCTTCTGTGATCATGGCTTTGTCCCCAGGGAACACTCAATCTCTTGGTAGCCTTCTTTCTGCCCTATTGATGCTGAAGTTCCCCAGGATTTCCTACTAAACATTCCCAGTCAGATTGAACTCCCAAAGGCTCAGTCGTCATTGATGCATTGACAACTCCCAAGTTTGGATCTTTAGACCAGACCATTCTTCAAAGCCCTCAGGTCATTTATCCAGTGTTCTACCAGACCTGCATCTCTCTCAAGCATTCCAAGCTCAAGAAAACTAAGCACATAATTTTCTTACTTATCCATCTTAAAAAGATCATTGTTTCATCTTAAAAAGATCATTGTTTTTCTTTTTTCTATTTCATATTCTTTTTGTTTTGTTTTTGTCGGCCATGGGGCTTGAACTCTAGGCCTGAGCCTGTCCCTGAGCTCTTTAGCTCAAGGCTAGGGCTCTACCACTTGAGCCACTGTGCCACTTCTGGTTTTCTGAGTGGTTTATTGGAGATAAGAGTCTCACAAACTTTCCTGCCTGGGCTGGGGGCTACCTTTAAATCACGATCTTCAGATCTCAGCCTCCTGAATAGCTAGGATTACGGAGTGAGCCACTGGCATCCAGCTCTATTTCCTATTCTTGGTAAGTTTCTCTAGCAGTTTTTAGGCAAAAAGCCTGGTTCTTTTTAAAAAATTTTTATTGTCAAAGTGATACACAGAGGGGTTACAGTTACATGCATAAGATAGTGAGTACATTCTTGTTAAACATTGTTACCCCCTCCCTCTTTTTTCTCCCACTTCCCCTACACACAGTGCCCCCCACCAAGTCGTACAGATCATTTCCAACATGCTGTCTTGTAAATATCACTGTTGCATTGGTTCACCCTTTGTCCTTTGTCTCACCATTTTGTTGTTCCCTTTCCCTTCCCTAAATCAGATAAACATACATACAATGCCCAGGGTACCAAAATCAAATACAGTGACAACAGCAAATGGTTCTTCTTCTTTTTTTGTTGTTTTTTGTTTTGTTTTGGTCAGTTGTGGGGCTTGAACTCAGGACCTGGGCTCTTTTTGCTCAAGGCTAGTGCTGTACCACTTTGAGCCACAGCACCACTTCTAGTTTTCTGGTAATTAATTGGAGATATGAGTCTCATGGACTTTGCTGCCTGGGCTGGCTTTGAACCATGATCCTCAGATTTCTGCCTCCTCAGTAACTAGGATTACAGGCGTGAACCACTGGCGCCTGGCTGGTTATTCTTAATATCCCTCTTCCTTGTCCCTCAAACCCAGACTGCTATCAATCTTATCACTCTTATCCTCTGCATACAAACTACCTTATTTTTCTACATTACCATTGCTACTTCCTTAAGCCACATTCTCTACCTAGACTCATGGCATAAATTTCTAGCTGGGCCTTTGTTCCGTTTACTTTTGCGTCTACTTGGTGCACTTGCTCCATGATACTGAGAGTTCTTGGAATGCAACTCAAACCATTCTGAAAACAGCCTACTAACTTATTACTATTTAGAGTCGCCCACAAAGTGTTCAGATTCTGCTTCCTTTCTTTCTTGCTATACTGCCTGCAGTGGTGTTCCCACTGCTTTTCTCACCTATCTCATTCATACTCATCCTCTGGTCTCTTCTTAATTCTTATTAACTTGGGGAAGTCTTCACTAACAAATACCCTCCTCATAGTGCTGAGGAAATATATACCCTCACAATGAAAATGTGTGTAATAGAGAGAGAGAGAGACACACATATGTGTGTATAATATATTAATATATACTATAGCCCAGTATCTTATAGGAAATATGGATGAAGGAATAATAATGAATAAATATTTGCCTAATATTAGTTAAATTCGGGCTTGGTTTTATTTTTAGTGATAATGGAGATTGAACCCAGGGCCTCTCACTTGGCTGGCAGTTGTCCTACCACTTAAGCCACATTTCTGGTGCCTTTCTTTTTCTGGCTGTTTTCAAGATCAAAGTCTTTTACGCCTAGGCTGGCCAGGGCTATAGCTCGGGATGGCCGGCACTGCCACTGTGCCCAGCTAACATGCTTCCTCTGTAGCTGGGATGACACTGTGCACCGTTGCACCTAAACCACTGTTTGAGAGGGTATCTGGTGGACCTCTATGTTCAGGCTGACCATGAGCCACAATCTTCCTTCCTTATCTTTCAAGTAGCTAGGATTATAAGCTTGAGCCACCATGCTCAGCCAAATTAAACTTTTAAAAAAATTTTCTTATTTAAATTTTAAAATAAATTTAAAATAAATTTGGAAGGTTGGGAGCTTGGCTTAAGTGATGGAACACCTGCCTGTTAAGCACAAGGACCTCAGTTCAAACCTCTGTGCTGTCTAAATAAATTAATGATTTGGTAGTGCCAACTTGCCTTACCAGTACTGTCAGTGTTTGTGGTATTGTCGATACCACTTGGCCTGTTTATAGTAAGAAATGACCACTTGAGATCATAAAGGGAAATACATATTACACATACTACTTGCACAGCTGTACAGTGTTTTTTAAACTATCTGTTTAAAATGCCTGGAGATGGCTTTTTCTGTTGAGGAAAAGTGTTTTTTTGTGCATAAAAAGAAATAGCAAAGGTTGGAATCCATAGTAGGTAGTAGCAGTATCTGTACCATGAAAGAAATACTAGAAGAAAACTCACTTGTTTCAAAACCTTTCCCCAGTGAGGTTAGTTCTGATGAGCCAATTGGTTGTTTTTTGTGGGTTTTTTTCTTTTTTTGGGGGGGTGGTTTTGTTTGTTGATCATGAGGCTTGAACTCTGGACCTGAATGCTGTCCCTCAGCCCTTCAGCTCTAGGCTAGCAGTCTGCCACTTGAGCCACTACACCACTTCCGGTTTTCTGAGGGGTTTATTGGAGATAAGAGTCTCACAGAGTTTCCTGCCCGGGCTGGTGAGCCTCAGACCTCAGCCTCCTGAGTAGCTAGGATGACAGGCATGAGCCACTGGTGCCTGTCTCTGATATTGTTAATGCAGTTTTCTCTCTCCACTTACCTGAACTTTCCACGGCTAATGTAAGCTTTATTTTCCAGCATCACGGAACACATTGACTTTGCTACCCCCATACAGCAGCCAGCAGTGGAGCCGCTGTGCAATGCCAATCTCCCCACGAGCATGCACACTCTGGACCACTTGCAAGGGGTGTCCAACAGAGCCAGTCTGCACTACATGGGTGAGAGTCAGCTGACAGAGGTGAGTGCACAGCCTTGTCCTCTTGAGTCCTCAGCTGGAGGTGGAACGCACAAATAATTGGGCCTTACTCTTCCATTTTTTTTCTTTTTTTTTTTTCTTTTTTTGCTATTTTTTTTCATTAGGCTCTTACCTACGTAGCTTTAAGCAGAGACTCGTTTCTTTCAGGACCTGAAAGAATGAACTTATATTTTCTTAATTCATCAGAGTGGGTCGTATTCTTTCTTACCTTCAGGGACACATATTTGGTGCAGTTAACTTTCCTGATTTGTGTGTGTGTGTGTGATACTGGAATTTGAACTCAGGGCTTCATGCTTGCTAGGCAGTCTACTACTTGAGTTCCCTATCCCCCAAGTCTTAGCCATTTTGCTTTAGTTATTTTTTCAGACAAGGTATTTCATTTTTGCCATGTAGCTGGGATTTAAGGCCTATACAGCCCCTCGTGGCTTATTTTGTGGAGATGGGGTCTCACTGATTTTTTACATGAGCTTATCTCAAACAACAATTCTAAGCAATGAACCTAGAATTAAAGACATGTACCAACATACCTGACCTTCTGTTGCCATTCTTAAGCCAGGTACAGAGAGCCGATCAGCAAATGCCTAGCAAAAGAATATACCTGAAAGATTTAGAAAGCATGCCATAGATTACCTCACTAGAAAATGGGTTAAATGAATTTTGATGCAAATACGAGATAACATATAATGGCACCATAAGGAAATATATGGTAAACATATTTATTGGCATAAAGAAAACTTTAGGATATTGTAATGTTCAGAATATGTTCTAGGTTACAATATGTAGTCCTATATTTTGTGACAAATAATACATGAATACATAGAAAAAAGTATCTGAAAAAATAAAGCTATTAACACTGAGTGACAGAATTACAAGTAGCTTCTGTTTCCTTTCTTTTCTAAAGTTGCTGTAGTGAATGTGTTTTTACATGTCTGTAATATTTTCTATGAAGTGGAGAAAGACTGAAAGGCTGGCCAGCCAGCCTGAAAGTTGTCTTCCAGAGGCACATCACCTACAGGAATATACCTTGTATCCCAGAGACACAGAGTGCTTTTGGGCTCCAGTGCCCATCTTAGTATCACAAATATCCTGTCTCATATACCATCTCCTTCTGTCCCAGGTATTGCAGAATCTTGGCAAAGATCAGTATCCACAACAGTCACTTGAACAAATTGGCACCAGAATTGCAAAAGTTTTAGAAAAGGTAAGTCACCTACAGGAAAGTTGGAAATGATTGCTCACCTTCCGACTTTCTTTCCAGATTACTTGTCCCTAAGTCACCTCTGCTGTTCATTAACATTGGAGACCAAAGGCAGAATGTGATTGGTCCTATTAGAGTGTTCTAATCACTTTCCCATTATATCCATCTCTCACTAGTGTATTTTTCTGTCTTTTCTGTCTCGTGTGGTGAAACTTACATAACCAACATTGACATATAGAGTAGATACTGTTGGAAACCCTAAATCAGGTGTTCATTGGTGATGAAGGACTTCAATGAAAATTTCTCTGGAAATCATGAAACAAAGTATTTATAAAACTATTTTCATAGTATTTTTATAGAGAAAATATAATTGAAAATTTCTAAGGCTGCTCTTCTACTCCATGTGATACTTGTATAAAGGAAGTTTTTAAAGTTTAATTTGACTACCTTATGACTAAGTATGTCTCCACTTTATTACTGTATAATATTGAAGAAGTTATATACAATGACTAAGATAAGCAGTTTAACCTTCAGTATGAATATGACAGTGAGATAACAATTTCTTCCCTTTTTTAAAAAATCACACATGGCAAAATCATCAACAAAACACATGTACAGTGAAACTAGGACATACATATCCTCCCTAGACTCAAAAAAAGAGAATAAGTATTGCCAAAAGTGGTTAAGGGAAGTGGCGCTGTAGCTCAAATGGTAGAGCGCTCGCCTTGAGCTGAAGAGCTGAGGGACAGCGTCCAGGCCCAGAGTTCAAGCCCCATGACCGACAAAAAAAAAAAAAAAAAAAGTGGTTAAGATCAACCCAGAGCCATATACAATGAGCTAAGATACACAGTTTCAAAATATGTTAACGAACATCCACTACAGGAACTTTTTACAAATAGCCTAGACAGGAAGATCCTGAGTAACAAAAACAGAGCAGACACAGCACTAATACAAATAATGAGAATACTTAGGAAACAGCAGCAAAACTTACTAAAAAGAGCAGAAAAATATTGTTGTGGGATAAGTTATAATTCAATATAGATGTTTTACCACCATATCAAATAATTTCCTGTATGAATAAAGATTACAAAGTAAAAATACAAAACTGCAGAAGAGATAGGTTAAAAAAAAATGTAAAAAGGAGAGATAGAAAACAAATACAGGCTGAATAGCCCTTCTCTACAATACTTAGGAAAAATATCAAGGTAATAATGACACAGTCAGAAGGAATTTGGTCTGCCAAATGCAGACCAGACCACAGGAAACTGAAGTGAGAACAGCAGCCACCACAAGACAGAGAGTTAAATAGAATGGAAAAAACATTTTAGGTGTCATAACTTAAACCAAGAATAAAATAAATAAGACTTTTACTGTTTTATGTCTATAAAATATATTTAGTTAAAAGAGCGTAACATTTGCCAAAGCAGACTGACCCAAAACAGCCACAATGGTTACTCAGGCAAATCATTTGACTTTAAAAGGAAAGAGTTCTTAACATTTAACATGTGGCACGGCTCAGCAAATTGGTTTTCAAGAGAGATCCTTCTACTTTGGAACAGCTGTACCTTATGTAGGGCATATTTTTTCCACTTATTGTTGGTATTACAAAAAGTAGGTCTCTAAAGCCTTTCTCTTTATGAAGAAAGCCGAAATGAGAAGTCTGAATAGAAATGTGTCAGAACTAGCTGAGAGCTGGGCCAGAATATGGAAAAGCTAGTCCATCTTAAGGACAGATGGTCAAGCACTCAGTACTCACTGAGCCTTGAACTAATGATTAATGGAGCTGAGTCTCAGACTCCTACACTGAACTGATAGAAGTCATGCAAAAACAACATAAATTAGAATTATGAAAACTAAAACATGAGATTATTGACTAATGGGAAAATTTGAACAGCATGTCTACCAAATATTAGAATTATAAGTACAAGCAAGTTACTTCCAACTGAAGACAATACAAGAATTAGCCCAAGAGCAAATAAACTAGATAGTGCCCAAGGGAAAAAAAAGACAAATGAGTAAATGATCCTAAATCCAAAAGGAATGAAGAAAAGGTAAAGGGATCTAAATCCAAAAAGTATGAGTAGGAACTTGCAAAATCTCTATTTTAAGAGACCAAACCTAAGCATCATGAGCATAGAAGAAAGAGAAGAGATGCAGCCTAAAGGGAATGAAAATATATCCAATAAAGTAATAGGACAGAATTTCCCAAGGCTTGATAAAGAAGCAGTCATTCAGACTCAGGAGGCTTGTAGGATACCCAGCTGATCAGAGACATATCACAGCTAAAATAATAAGTGTGTAGAACAAGGGGAAAAAATGAAAACTGCAGGAGAAACACTTAGTCATAAAAAGTTAAAAAGCCATTTGAGTAACAAATTTCTCAGCAGACACTTAAAACACAAGGAGGTTTTAGAATGATGTTTATTTTTGTTAGTTTTGTTGTTGTTGTTGTTGCCAGTCCTGGGGCTTGAACTAAGGGGCTGGACACTGTCCTTGATTTTCTTGGGCTCAGGGCTAGCACTCTACCACTTGAGCCTACAGCATCACTTCTGGCTTGTTCTGTTTATATAGTACTGAGGAATCAAATCCAGAGCTTCATGTATGCTAGGAAAGTTTGCACTCTACCACTAAGCCACATTCCTAGCCCTGAAGTTTGTTTTTATGCAAGTCCTGGAGTGTGAACTCAGGGACTGGGCATTGTGTGCTTTTGTGCTCAAGGCTAGTGCTTCATTTTCAACTTTTTTGGAAATTAATTGGAAATACAAAAAGACTCGCAGACTTGTTCCTATCCAACTGGCTTCAAATTGTGATCCTTACCTCTCAGCCTCCTGAGTAGGATTACATACATACCAGCACCCAGCAGAATGATGTATTTTAAGTGCTAAAATTAAACAGTTGCCAACATAGATTAACTAGCAAAACTATCATTCATAAAGGACAAACAAAAACCATGATAAAAACCTAAATAATTTATAACCACTAAAGCATTACTGCAGAAGAAATACTCAGTTTTACACACAAAAAAGGAAGACAAAAGTAGTAATAAAAATAAGAAAATATTTCTCATTAGAGAGCAAACAAGCAAACGAGAACAGGAAAGAAACAAACAACAAAAACATTTCCAAAAACAACAAAAAAGCAGGGACTGCATACTTCTCAATGATACTAAATGTCATCCCAATTCTCCAAAACACATAAAAGTACAAGATCCTGGTCTGAGGCCATCTAGTCAGAAAAGTTCATAAGACTCCCTGATATACCAGTATTGGGCATATATCTGGGGGAATATAAATCAATATACAGTATTAATACCTGCATATCCATACCTATTGCAGCTATGGATATACTTATTGCCAGACTAGAACCAGCTGAGATGCCAAATACCAATGAATAAAGAAATTATATACAATTCACATACCACGGAATATTGCTTAGCTGTAAAGAAAAATGAAATTGCCATTTGCAGGAAATTGGATGAGACTGGAGATCATCATGTTGAGCAAAATAAGCCAGTCACAGAAAGCCACATGTCCCATGTTCTTAGTTACCTGTGAAGTGCAGCTGTGGATGATGATGCAGTCTTTAAGTATCATTTTCCACTAAAAGGAAATGGATTCTTTGGAAAATAGCTTCTGCTAAGTCTAGGAAAGCCCGGAGGCTCCCAGAAACAACAAAGGTTGTGTCAAAAGAAAGAAGTCCCTTCCCTCTTGCTTTCCAGTCTTTTAGCGCACATATTCACAGAACTGAAGCCTGCACAAAAAGAAAAAGCAGGATTTTCTGCATTACAGCCACAAGATGACAGTGCAGATTATAAAATGTGGATTTGGACTTGAGAGAGAATAGCCTAATAATTATCACAACAGGCATTCATTCGTTTATTCAGGAGATACATAGTAAGTAGAAGCTTACTCTGCCATTTACTTTTTAAGTGGGATAAATCAGTGAAGAAAAATTGAAACAGGCTTGTGGACTCATAGGAACAGAGAAAGGACATATCACCTACAGAGGAGTGATAGCTAAAATAACAGCCTGTCTAAGAGCACTGGTAAAACCAGGGGATAATTTTGGAAGGATTCCAGACCCCCTGTAACTGTGTAACCTGCAAGGAGGGAAGAATAAAGATACTTAAGAAGTGGAAAAGGTTTACTTCTAAGAATCCTAACCCAAAAGAACTTTTCTGTACACTAGTTATAGGAGAATTATCTGAGACACATGACTTGCCAAGCAAAATGATAAACAGGTATGCAAGCATTGCCTATGAGAAATAATAATTTGTAAATGTTTAAAAAAAAATATCTAGCTGGGCACCTGTGACCCAGATCTGTAACCACTAGTTACTCAGAAGGCTGGAATCTGAGGGTTGAGGTTTGAAGCCAGTCCAGGCAAGAAAGTCCGTGAGAGACTTATCTCCAATTAACCACCAAAAAAAAAAAAAAAAAGCTGGAAGTGGAGCTGTGGCCCTGTATTAAAGCCTCAGAACCAGTACAAAAGATAATAAATCAAAATGACTAAATTTAAATCCTGTTCTTTTAGTCAGGCTTTACATTGCTGTGACAAATACCTTAAATAAATCTTACAGGAGGAAAGGCTGGATTTGGTAATAGTACTTACCTGTAATCTTATCACTCAGGAGGCTGAGTAGGCCAGCTGGGGCTACATAGTAGACTCTGTCTAGGGGGAGCGGGAGTAGGCTCACAATTTCAGTGGTTTAAGTATAAGGTTGACTGAATTCATCTCTGTGGGCCTAAGGCAAAGCACAGTATTATAGTGACTAAAGTATGTTGCAAAAGCTGCTCACAGAAGTGGTGCTGTGGCTTAAGAGGTCGAGTGTCAGCCTTGAGCAAAAGCTAAGGGAGAGTGCTCTGGCCCTAAGTACAAGCCCCAGTCCTATCACCAAAAAGAAAAGAGGAAGAAGGGAAGAGAGGAGGAGAGAAGGGAAGAGTAAAAGGGAAAAGAACGGAAGGGAAGAGAAAGGCACCTTAAGAAAAGGAAACCTAATGTTGAATTTCTTTGTAAGCCAGGCACTGCTGTTCATGCCTGCAATCCTAGCTACTCAGGAGGCTGAGAGCTGAAGATTATGGGCAGGAAAGTTTGTAAAAGTTTAATTCTTCCATTAAATCTTCAATTAACCAGCAAAAAGCCAGAAGTGGAGGTGTGACTCAACTGGTAGAACACCAGCCTTGATCTAGCCTTGAGCAGAAAGCTGAGTAAGTGCAAGGCCCTAAATTCAAGCCCCAGCAGTTCCCCCCCCCCCCCATGCACATACACACTCATACACACACGCACACACACGCACCCCTATACATATTCTGGCTTCAAACCATGATCCTCCGATTTCAGACTCCTAAGTATCTAGAATTTCAGGTGCAAACCACTAGCATCCCACTATATGTATATAGGTCTTCCTAAACAGTGGTCTTGGAGTCATATACCCATAAATATCAATGGTCTGCTATACAGTAGAAATGAGGATAGGAGGGGGCTTTTCTCCATGTAACTTTTTATACTTCCAGATTTTTGAAACATGTGAGTTACCTGTTCAAAAAGTTAAATAACTTTAAATAAAAGAGAACTTTAAATAAAAGCTCACGCCTGTAATCCTGGCTACTCAGGAGGCTGAGATCTGAGGATTGCAGTTCAAAGCCAGCCCGGGCATGAAAGTCCATGAGACTCTTATCTCCAATAAACCACTAGAAAACCAGAAGTGGTGCTGTGGCTCAAGCGGTAGAGCGCTCGCCTTGAGCTGAAGAGTGCAGGGACAAGCCCCAAGAGCAACAAAATAAAAGAGAGAGAGAGAGAGAGAACATGGGTCTGCTATTTACTACTTCCATGGCCTTGGGCACAGTACCTAACCTCTCTGAATCATAGTGTTTTGTTTATAAAAATGAGCAAATAGTATTGCCAAGGCCATAAAATTGTTTAAAGCATTATCCAAAGCCCAAACATGTAGTGTTAATAGACACATTTACATTTAGTAAATACTCAGACAGTAGTGAGTCGTGTTACTGTTCTTAATTTGGGCACTCTGGTGTATTACTGGGCAGACACCGGCCTTAGCTGACCATTCCTTTGTAGAACCAGACATCCTGGGTCCTTTCCAGCATGGCGGCCCTCTACTGGAGAGTGAAAGGCCAAGGGAAGAAAGCAATCGACTGCCTCCGCCAGGCCCTCCACTACGCTCCACACCAGATGAAGGTGAGTGGGACGCAGAATGGAGCAACTGTCAGCCATGCCCTTTCTGTTGCTCAGACATCTATTGCGAGGTTTCAACTAGCCTTCCTCACACTCAGCCAGTGTAGAGTGGTGTGTGAATAGGATGGGGCAGAGGGCCACAGCGAGCATGCACCTGCCCCCACTAGCACATCACTCAGGACCTCTTCCACTGCATTGACAGCTACCATTATACATAGAGTAAACCAGCTAAACAGGCAGCCAGCCACCTGGAAGCCTCTCTGTGAGTTACCTTATCCCCACGGGGCCTCTTTACGCCCTTCACTGGAGCTTGAGTTCACTGAGACAGAAGCATGTTTACATTTGTGTGTGTGCAAATTTACATTTGTATACATACATATATATTTGTGTATATATACATACATATACAAATTAATCCAAACATCATAATCATACTTCCTAAAAAGCCAGCATACATCTTGTCAGAAGTATATGAAAATAGTAGAGGCTTAGAGGCGTCATTGGGAGGAATTGGTTTCTAATCAGCTCCTCTTCTTACTAGCTCTATGACCTTAGGCCAGTTACTGAAAACCTGGGCTGGTCTCATCTAAGGACATGCACTATATGGGTGCCCAGAAAGGACAGAAGTGGATCCCCTGTTTCTGAGTCTCCTGTAGACCCATCGTATGTGTGAGATGGCCAGGAGTTGATCAGGTCACATGTTTAAAGGGAAAATAACTTGACAAAAGTGCTATTTGTTCAGTCCATCACTTAGTACCTCTGACTCTGGGAAAATAGAAGAAGGCCAAGACTGTCAGGCCCAGCAGACTTTTTGTAATAGGCCAGTTAGACATTTTGGATATGTGGGCGTAGCCTCTGTCGCAGCTACCCGCTTCTTCCATTGTAGTATGAATTACATGGTAGTGTGAAGAAACACATAGAGGAATACGAGGATACATTCTGACAAAACTTTGGAAGAACAGACATTAGGCTAGATTTGACCTGTGGCAGAATTTTGCCAGCTGTTCCAGGAGATACGGTGATCCTTGCAGAAATACTTCAGCTCTACCACAGTGGGCCCAAACTGTCCCTTTTGTGGACTTTATATAACCAATCCCTGGTAACACAGAGCTGCACCAGAATAAAACAACTACATCGCTCTAGGTTGTTTATTTCCATTGATGCATTTGTTTTTCATTGGTATGTTGAGGCAAGACTTTGTCAGTGGAAGAAGTAATTGGTCTCCTGTTACAGAACTGCAGCCAGCAGCAGACTAGCACCGTGAATTTTACTACCCTGTCATTGGCCAGGAAACACTGGCAGCATTCTTTCCAATCAGAAAAATCCATGATGAAAGTCAAGATTCCCTTTCTCCACTCTCCCTGCCTCCCCCCAGGATGTGCCCTTGATTAGCCTGGCCAACATCCTCCACAACGCCAAACTCTGGAATGACGCTGTCATTGTGGCCACCATGGCAGTAGAGATTGCACCGCACTTCGCTGTCAACCACTTCACGCTGGGCAACGTCTACGTGGCGATGGTGAGTTTGGGGTGTCAGCCATTATGCCAACTGCTGTGGCACAGCGGCACATCTTCGATCCCAGAATTTCTTTGAATATGTCATATGTCATTGTCATTTAGGGTTTCCCCTAAATGTTTTTGAATATGTCATTGTCCTCGGGTTTCCCCTAAATCTTATGCCTAAAACTCACCAGCTCCACCAAGGGTAAAATTGTACGGATAAGGGGTTTGAAAGATTTTTTTTTTTTTTTTACTAATCCATAAAGTTCATCTTAAGCATTTGTAAGTCTGTGGTTCCTCAGAATGAGTTTCACACTGGTAATAGAATCATACTTACCTATAATTTTCTGGAGATACCACCTGTTCCACAGCCCCTCATTTGACATTTCATGTAGACATACATTCATATGCCCCTATGCTTCCCGGGTGGGTTGAGCTAGGCTGTCATTACACACAATGCCTAGTTTTCATAGTGTTTTACGAGTTTTGTTTAAGTGTTTGTCTTTGTCTCTGGACTGCAGGGTCCTCTTCTTCTCCCTGTTCCTAGCACCTCACAGTGTTGGGCCCATAGCAGTTGCTCATTAAATACTTAATGATGATGTAATCCCACTAGGTTCATGGATTCCATTTTCAGAGAAGATGGAAAAGCTATCATCCAGATCCCATATTCTGGTCAGAAACAAGGACTGGTTTCAGAACTTGAATCAGATGGCCCCCTAAAACCTGTCCTAACCAAATTTGATGTAAAAATCCACTTGCATCTAAGATGTTGTGTCACACTTCACAAGTGGCTTTGACCAGGCCACTGTCACTAAGCCAAAAGACTGAGCAGCCCTAGGCTATAAGCCCATGTTTCAGCTTTGACTTTTGAGGCACGAACTAGAGCCTGACCAGATTGATATTGCTGAGTGTACAGATTTCCCTCTCTGTACCTTAAAATTGAAGAATCTATTTTTATCCCCAGTAAGCATGAAATTTTGCTGCTACAAGTGAACAGTTTTGTCTCCTAAGGTAAACAGAATCACTTAAGCAGTTGGCTAGGCTCTTTGTGATTGATGGTCTAAGTAAATCTAGGCAGTTTCATAGTAACATTTGCCAGGCCTTCCAGAGGTTTCTGGGAGGCCTAAGCAGAAGTATTCACAGACGTTGAGCCACTCCTGGTACATTGCAGGGGCTCAGGGATGACAGTTCTGTGACTCCACTGTTACTCCTCTGGCTGGCGCTAACCTGCACTAGCTGGTCTCCACTTGTTCCTTGGCCTTGACTATCTTCCTTGTTATGTCGTTGTGCCTTGGAACTGGGGAGCCACATTCTCCTGCCCGGCCTGAGCACGCTTTGTGGACTTGACTAGGTCTATTGAAAAGTGCTGCACGTTGTCACCAGTACAGAGGTGTTTTTCAAGAGCAAAGAGGTCACAGCACACATTTAGTCTGGTGGTGCCATCCCTCTCACATCTGCCCTCTGTCCCCCACAGGAAGAGTTTGAAAAGGCACTGGTGTGGTATGAGTCGACACTGAAGCTACAGCCTGAGTTTGTCCCAGCCAAGAACCGGATCCAGACCATCCAGTGTCACTTAATGCTGAAGAAGGGGCGGCGCTCTCCATAGTGCCCCTTCCTCCTCTGTCCCCTCCACCCCGTCCCAGCAACAATCAGAACAGGACCCAATCATTGTCTGAATCTACTCTAATGACGTGTGTGCAAATAACCAAGTAAGACTTATAACAGGACTTTTATGTATGTGGTTTGGCTTGATTTTAAGTTCCTTCTTTCCCCTGCCAACCTCAGAAGAAGAATCTTTGGAAACATAAAATTTCTTCAAAGGAAAATGCAGCTTAAAGGTACTGTGTAAATACTGAGCCAAGACATCTCTGGAGCTCTGCTCTGTCTCCCAGACCTCCAAAGCCTTCAGGGCTTCTCTCAGTGGTGCAAGCAGCCTCCGTGGAGAGGCCAAACCACACTGCACCTTCTCTGCTTCTGGCCTGGGCTCTGTCATGCCACATGGCAGTCCGTGAGAGGCAGTGCCCGCCCCCCTAGCCCCGCGCCGTCCTCACGCATCCATTCCATGCTGCTACGTTACACTCTCAGAGGTAGTTTGCAGGGGAGGAAGGGGAATGATTTTAAAAACAAGTATTTACAACAACAGAAACTCTTAGGATCACCTGACCTTTGTAAGTTATTTTTTTGTTGGGGCGGGAGGGGGGCTGAGCAGGGGGAGTCAGCGGTGTGCAACATCTTTACCATTTGTACTTTAATTACAGATCAGAGGATCCCAATCCGTTGAAATCTTATATAACTGGTTTTATATGTATAGAATATGTATATTTGAAACCCTCTACAGGCTGAGTCTATGTTTTACTAATTCTCTGCTCACTGTGCTACCCATCCTGAGATAAGGTGCGACTGTCGGCTCCCTTCCTGAGGCCACCGGAGTGAGCTCCTCCGGAGAGCGCGCAGAGCCAGGGCTGAGCGTCTGCATACAATGCCTTTACCTTTGGTCCCAGTAGAATTGAAATTCCAGCATTTTGGAATCTTCAAGGGCACATACTGAAAACGAAAATAAAAATTGCTTATGGGCAAGACAGGTCTGGAGTGTGACTTCATTAGAGCCAGGCTGGTTGCGTTGCTGTGAAACCTTGCTGTATTGTATCCCTCCCCTGCTCAGGTCCCAAGTGGGCTATATCTACTTTGCCACAGCCATCAACGGTACTGGAGGGCAGGTAAACATAGTGGTGTGGCACATTGGACAGGAAGATGCACCCTCAGCAAGTCTTCAGAGTTTGGTCCATGCCTTCCAGAAAAAGAGAAATAATCTGAACCACACACACATACTTCAGGTGAGCCCTGAGGCTAACTTCCATCCCAGAAGGCCCATCCAGAGCCTTGGGGGAGTTGTGCCTGTAGTAGGTGGAGAATTCCCTTTGAGGACCCACGGACTGCACAGAGCACCCTCACAGGGACTGGTTGGTTCTGACAACCATGCAATCCTTCCAAACTTTATGCAGCTGGAGTCTTGCTAATCCCACCTTCCTCAGATGGACTTGGAGAACAGCAAGCTCATTTGTTACTGCACACAGCCACCCTTTATGTGCCAGGAGGAGCCTGATAATGTGTGTCTTGGTATAACTCTCCACTCCCCGTACCTCACCATTTGGATTTTTTTTTTCTGGAAATTTTCAAGTTACTTTTTTTTTTTTAATTTACATTTGGCCAGGTGCTGGTGGCTCACGCCTGTAATCCCAGCTACTGTAGAGGCTGAGATCTAAGGATCATGGTTCAAAGCCAGCTCGGGCAGGAAAGTAGTCCGTGTAACACTTATCTCCAATTAACCACCAGAAAGACAGAAGTGGCTCAGTGGCTCAAGAGGTAGAGTACTTGCCTTAAGCTGAAGAGCTGAGGGACAGCGCCCAGGCCCAGAGTTCAAGCCACACGACTGACGTAATAAATTAATAAATAAATAAATTTTACATATGAAACAACCTTTGGTGTAGAATTCTGTGATTTTTAACACGGACATGGAGTCATAGCACCCACCCCAACAGGGCCTGGCTATGGAGGGAGGGAGATGTAGCTCAGGGGTAGAGCACCCACCTAATGTGTGAAGCCCAGGGTTTTCTCCAGCACCACAAAAAACAAAAGACTCCGGCATTCTTCCTTTTTGTAGTAGCACCCCTGCACTTAATCACTGGCCTTTTCTCCGTGCTTACCATTGTTCCTTTCCTATAGTGTCCTGCAGAGTAACGCAGTACACATCCTTTTTCAGTCTGCCGCGTTGCCTTCCATACTGTCCTTGGGATTTGCCCGTGCTGTGTGAACCACGAGTTCATTAGTATTCTGCTCATTGGCTCACCTTGCTGGAGGACACTAGGATGTTTCCAGCTTTTGGCAATTACTAACATGTAAACTTTTGCATGTAGATTTCTGCGTGCACTTGGGCGGCTGTCTTCCTGCTCTGGACCTTTGGAAAATGAGCAGTCAACACCAAAGAAGAAGAAGCAGCTCTAGGTCCTCTCCTCTCCCCTCCCCTCCCCTCTTCCCTCCCCTCCCCCCTTCCTCTCCCCTACTCTTCCCCTTCCCTCTCCTACCCCTCCCTTCCTCTTCTTTTCTTTTCTTTTTTCTTTGCTGTCCTTTGAGACCTGGGTTCATTCTCTCTTAATTTTTTGCTCAAGGCTAGTGCTCTACCACTTTAGCCACAGATCCACTTCAGTCTTTTTGGTGGTTAATTGCAGACAAGAGTCTCATGGACTTCACTGCTCGGGCTGGCTTTGAACCATGATACTCAGATCTGACTCCCAAGGAGCTAGCATTACTGGCACGAGCCACCCACAGTTGGTTCCAGCTGGATTTAAATAGAAGGAGTTCAGGCTTGGGGTAAGCATGAGTCTGCCTACATGAAAGGAAGGGGGGAGAATTTCGCTTCTCTTTGAAGTGACTAGAGCCTGATTCCAGGACTTTATTCCACCTCAAATGCTGTTCCATTTCAAATGCCGTTCCATGCCGTTCACAAGGGTCAAGGAGGTGTTGTACTGTGGCCCATGGCATAAGGGGCCCTTGCTGATGTAAGGTGGGAGCAGGCCAGTGGGAGCTGGCTAGGCCACCGTCTTCCCCATCCTGCCTGGCCACTTCCTGCCCTGTTGCCCACATCCCAGAACTCTTCATAGCATTTATTCACTAAATGAGTCAAAGGCTAAACTAGACGTCACACTGGTACCCACTTGCTAGAAGTGGATCGTGGACTCCAGCTCTCTAGGCGGGGGGACCAATAGCTAGTATCCTTACGTCTCATGTCTAAGGAGGCCTGAAAGTTTGCAGAAGAGACCCAGAACTTGAACTGATAAGGAAAACCTGCCACTGTCAGAACTACCTCAATACTGCTAGAACAAGCTTGCCAGTAATTTTCAAGAAACTGTAAACCAGAGCTCAGAACACCTGTGCTGTACTTGATGGAAGGACTGTGTGCCTATCAGTTGGGGCTCAGAGTTTGAAGTAGAAACTCCCATGGGTCCATCACCCGTGTGAACAAACAGGAGTTCGTCTCCCAGTGGTGCTTGGCTTCCCGTTAGTCTGTTTTCTTGTAACGTTAGGTTCCAGGGAGATTCCAACCATGCCAGCCCTCTGAGCCAGCAGCCAGGCTATACCAATGGTATTCCAGGTCCTTCACCCCAGAATTCAGACCCTCTGAGCAGTGTTGGGTCCCAGGAAGAAGTGAACCAACTCACCTGGCATCGCATCCAGACTAGGTAAGCCCTGGGGAAGGTAAAGGGAACTCAAGTCCTGTCCCGTATGGGCAGAAAGGGGTGCTTGATCACCCCCACACACAACCCCACAAGACATACCACATATCCCAATGTATGGTATGGGGAGGAACTTAACCTGACTTGCTTGTGTCTCAGGTTCAATTTTGTGGCTTCATGACCAATAGCTACAGAGTCCAAGTAGGTCCTCCTCTTCCCTGTTCTACACCGCACCAAAGCAGAGTTGGACATGGGTGCAGAGAATTCACTAAAACCATTAAAACCTGAGCCAAGCACTGATGGCTCACACCTGTAATCTCAGCTACTCCGGAGGCTGAGATCTGAGGATTGTGGCTCAAAGCCAGCCTGGGCAGGAAAGTTCTGTGAGACTCTTTATCTTCAATTAACCACCAGAATACCACAAGTGGAGCTGTAGCTGGAAGTGGTAGAGTGCCACCCTTGGACGAAAGAGGTCAGGGATGACACCCAGGCCCTGGCTTCAAGCCCCATGACTAACAAAAAGAAAAAAAAAGCCACCTGGGCCTCAGAAAGACACCATTTATGAGGAAGACCCTGAGGAAGACGCACCTGCACCTCTGCCAGATGCCCTGACTGCCCTTGAGTCAGTAGAGGCGCATGGGCCATCGCCTGGAAGCCCACCACCATCAGCCAGTGGAAAAGGGGGCCGGGCCAGGCCAAGCCAGATGAAACACCACCTCCCAGGAAAGGGAAGTGCCAAGCAGAGGCACTGCAGGAAACCACCTGGCCACACAGGATTCAGATTAGGGAAGACTGGGCTCCCTGGCTCTTGGCCCTGGGGAACCCACGGTCAACATGATTGTGGGGGCCATTGACTTTTATGGTAAAGCTTGTCCCCAATACACTACCAGAGAATCAGGAAATAGGGCCAGGGGTACTGAGGACATCCTGAGGGTGCCCCGAAGTGTTCAAGGTCAGTTCACGGTAGGTAGGTGGGTAGCAGTGAGGCCCTGCTCTGCGGCAGGGCTGCTCTGGAGGTGTTCAGTTCTTGGCTATCTATGGTTGAGGGTAGAGGTGCCGTTTGTTGTTGGCAACAGCTTTTTGTCTTTGTTTTTCTTACACTGGCCATGTGTTTTGAGATGTGAGGTAAATTCAGTTCCACACGTTTTTAAACTATCGGTGCACAAGCATGTGTGTATGTGTATATGTGTGTCTATATAAAATCTGAGTGGGTAAAAACTGTTATCATGCTAACCAAGAGTTATCTGGCTCAGCAGGCCAAAGGAAAATAAAGGGCATCATTAAACTCAAACCGCAAGGATTTGCCTACTTACCAAATGTGTCTGAGAGTCACAAAGAAAGGATTCTAAAAGTAAGAATTGTCTTTATGCAGGATAAAGCTCACTGAAGCCTTGTGCGGACCCAGTAGTGTTTATTGTGAGCTGAACTTGATCAAGACCACAGGCAGGAAAGGATGGGGAAAGCCTGAATCTAGGCAATCTAATTCAAAAGCTGACACCCTACCCTGTGCCCTACAACCTCAGCACTACAAACCATTCTCTACAGGTGAGAAAGCCAAGGCTCAGAGGTGAAGCAGCTGGCTCATAATCACACAGGTGCAGTAGTGTTCTGATGCAGACCAAGCTTAGAAGTGCCTGACACAAAATGAGAGCTCTGCAATTGCTCAATTCATATTGCTTCCATGTGTAAATTGTGTCTCACACTTGCTTTATTCTTAACTGTTCCCTATTTGGCTTTGGGTATATCGATCTTGTCTCTTTCAAGGATACACGTATTTCATGTGCCTGTGTCTGGTAGCACTGAATGCAGACCCAGCATATCACAAATGCTCATTAAATGGTAAACGATGGACCGCCATGCACTGATAGGTTCTTTTGCTTCCTGTTATGGCATTCTGGAGAACTTCCACCACATCTGATGAATGGGGGGAAGCCAGTCTCAGAAAAGTGAAATATCTTGCATCTCTGCCATAGAACCTGAAGAAGGGAAAAAAAAAAAAAAAAAAAGAAACGAAAACGTGGGTCTCTCCATCTGCTTCGGGCTCCCTCTTTCTCAATCTGGCTAATGGAGGAAAGCACCCATCTGCTTGTGAAGCTGACAGGCCTGTTCCCTTCACTATCCTGCGCACACACAGGACACTGTGGGGCTCCGTCTCTGTCCCAAGCCTCCTACACATCATCAGACATCTTGCCCTAATTGGTGGACCAGGCAGCAGCAGTGGAAAAGATTGTTCTTCTAAACTCAAGCTATTGCAGTTATTCTAATGGACAGACAGGCAGCCCTCAATCAAGTCCCATCCTCCTGTTTTTACAGATGCAAACGGCATTGCAGCCCTCCGACAAGAT